AAACGTGTTTTTGTAAGGTAAATAAAACCTTAGCACAAACTGAAGACATAAAGATATTGAAAAATTTGGCACAATTACTTTTTATAGCATTATGCAACTTTTCACTCTATTACTCAAAAAATGTTGTTTTTCGATACACCCTACTATCTAAACTCTGAAACAAAACCTTTACAAAAAAAAAATAAGTTGAGAACAGTACTTCCAGGGGTGTGATAATTCATTATTTGATATGTGCTATATTAGAAATCAATTTTCCAGGGGTGTGTTAGCTCATAATTTCATATGTGCTCTAATAAAAATCAAACTTTCATGGTGTGATGGTTCATAATTTTATATGTGTTTTATTAGAAATTAAACTTCTGGGGGTGGTGATGGTTCATAACTTGATATGTCCTCTATTAAAAACCAAACTTTCGGGGGGGTGATCGTTCATAATTTCATATGTGCTCTAATAGAAAGTAAACTTCTGGGGTATGATGGTTCATAATTTCACATGTGCTGTATTAAAAATTGAGTTTTGCTAAAAAGTTAATGTATATTTCTTTAACTTTCTTTTTTTTTTTTTTATTCTTTAAATCTCTGATATTTTTTATATATGTACTCTGATATATTGTCATTGCACAGTGGGGAATCACAGTGGGGAATCACAGTGGGGAATCACAGTGGGAAATCACAGTGGGGAATCACATGGCCAAAAATCAAAAAAGTTACTTATTTCAAACATTATGTCTGATAGTGGGTTTTGTTACTAATACCTTCACTAAGAATTTTCCAATTTATGAAATTCTAAATGTGACAGGCTCAATGGTAGTGGCTTCTTAAAATTAGGTTTTTAATGAATTTTTGATAAAAATTCTCAAGATGCTAGATTTTAGTAATTATTATTTTTTTAATATATAGATAATTGAAAAATTGAGAATATATACATCATTGGGAAGGTTATAATATAGGTTGTCAAAAATAAAAAATTTCTCGAAAAAGTTGGTACTACAATTTTTATCATTAAAAGTAAAAAATTCATAACAAAAGTACTAAATTTTAACTTTGGTGAAGAATTAAAAAATTGTTCCGATTTGTACCTTTCCCATATTTTGGTATTTTTTAGTCTATAGTGTCTGCTAACTACCCTGAGAAGTGTGGCTGCAATCATCTGTGATATTGAGCGCTGAATAATTTTAAAAAATTGATGTTTTTTTAAACAAATAAAAAGTTCTTTGAATAAAAACAATTTTTTTCATTCATTGCTAAACGTAAAAAAAAAAATCTACTTAAGATATTACAAACTAAAGTAAGTTTGTTTTCAAGTAAAGTGTTGTTATTGAAAGAAAAAAAGTTGTTTTTTATTTAATTTCATGTGTTTCTGGTTTTAAAATACATAATTAATTTAAGAAAAAATAATTCAAAAGTGTATTTTCAATGTCCCACTAATTGACTAAAAACCACATGAATTTCTAAATGATGTTAAAAAGTTTCGTTTTACTTTGTAAGTTTATTGTTGTGAACTAAGATAATGGAGGGAATTAATCTAAAACAAATTGTGCAACGTTTTCAGGTTTCGAAAAATGCTTTTGAAAATGTAAATAGTGGGTTTAAAAACAATATTACTAGGATTTAAGTCAGAGAAGACAAAATAAATTTATTAAGAAAGAGATTAAAAGTAACTCTTGTAAAGTATGTTGCACTGTGTCATGCATCATATAGAAAAAAAGAAATATTTAATAGAAATCAGGTTTGGCTTAATTCAGTTTTTAAAACAATTTAGTTGAATCACCAGGTAATCAAGAAGGTTTAAAAATAAATCAGCAAAAAGAGGTCATCCAACAAAAGAGTTTGATGAATCAAGTTCTCACACCAAAAGGCGATTTATAGCAAATATATCATTTGATTCAAAAATGGAATTCATCAAAAAAATATTGCTAGTGGTACAAATAACAGCATTTAATAAACGTAACTTTAATTTAGTCAAATTACTTAGCGTCATTACAAAGAGATGACACGAATCATTATTGATTTACACTCAACTAACCATGTTGCAAAAGAAAATGACGTCTGAAGAAGCTTTTGCATACTTCTTGGATAACAAACTTTCAAAACGTGTTTATGAAAATACTCATAAAAAAGCAGCATGCAGCTTTCCATCTTATTGAGTAATTTCTGATATAAAAAAGGAGTGCTTACCTTAAAAACATCCATTGAAGTTACTGAAACAAAGGCCAAAGTTAAACTACAGGATCTTATGGATCACACATCCAAGAGGCTTGTGAAACTACAAGAAAAAGAAATTTTAAAATATTTGGATGATAGAAAAAAAGACTTTGATGAATTAATACTAATTAGTAGTTGAGGTATGGACAGAATATCAAGTCACTCAAAATACCATCGTTATTATCAAATTACATAGCATTCGAATTGTAATTAAGTGCAAAGACCCAATTGATCCGGAAAAAATTAGTAAATATTGCAGTGATACATATAAGAAGTTGTTAGAGACATAATTGGTTCAAGGTTTCAGATTCTGTTCGCAAAGTATTAGCACATGCTGAGGAAATTATTATTAATTCACCAGTTTCACTTGGTTTAATGGGAGAGGAAGCAGTTGATTCTCAACACAGAATTTATAAATTTGATTGTGAACATCATGCAAGGAAAAAAAGTCGAGAAAAAAACTTGTTTAACATTTTCATTTTAGGTACTTCTGATCCCCTAAATAACTAAAAGATTGAAAAGTAAGAAAATATTGTGCCTACCAGAAAAAGTTAAAAGTTTGTAAGCAGTTTATAGCGATGATAGAGAAAATTCATCTTATATGGAATCAGATGAAATTAATGACTTATATGAATATATTTAAATGTTGACATCGCTGACGAAAATCTAGAATTAGATATAGATGTAGAAGAATAAAATTTTAAACTGTATTATCTGTATAATGTATAATCTGTATTATGTAAAACTTTATTCTCGTTTGCCTACTATATAAATTTATTAAATAAATAAAAAATATTAAATAAAGTATCAAAAAAATTACAGTAATTTCGTTCAAATCATTGGAGTTTGGAAACAAGAATATCCGAAAAGTTTATTTATTTTTTTATTTTTTTTTATTACTAGTTTTATTATTTATTATTTGTTAAGAATTAAAATGACTTTAATTTTCATTTCTGTTCCAAAGATATAACTGTAGTAACTATAATCAAGTTTTCACTTTCTCCGAAATGAGGGGGTTGTAAACTTCACATGATCATAAATTTCACAGAATAAAAGATTATTCGATGAAAGTTAAAACCTGTCAATGAATTTAAATTAAGTATAAGATAGCAGCAAAAATCTTTTTTTTGGGCTCATTGACCTCAAATTTAGGGGAGGCTAACTTTTTATGGTATTTTTGATCCCGGGCTTTAATCTCCGCAATTTTTTTGCAAAACATATTTTAACTTAAGCATGAACATAACAAGTTTAAAACATTGAAAACCATCCATTATTAAAATCATCCAACAATGTCCAAAAGTATCACATATAAAAAATTCAACTGGTGCCCCCAGTGCTCAAGTGGAATTCCCCTCCCCTTTTTGCTGCGCCTATGATCTGGTTAAACACAAAAAACATAAAAATAAAAAATATTATATTAAATCTCTATTTTACTAAATTAAGGCACATAAATACAGCGATTATATTTTTAGCCACCTATTTCAATGGAATGTTCCCACTGTGCGTTGGTGTCAAATAAAATTTTTATAATTAAAAATAAAATTGCTTTAAAATTTATAAATTTGGTAAACATTCAAAACAAGCTTTTTTGTTTATTAGTAAAACAAAATAAATTTTCGCAAAATCAAGTGATTTGAGATAAGAAATATTGAAACTAATTTTTAGGTTAATATTTAATTATTCAAAATAAAATGTTGTTTGAAATAGTAGTTAAAACTTATTTATTAAGTTATTATTTAATTATTCAAAACAAAATATTATATTAAATAGCAGGTATTGTATGCTTCTTTAAATACTTTTATATGAATGCTATTATAATGCAAGAATGATTTTCATAAAAAGTTCGAGGTAGGAAATAAAACAAAAGAAAAAAATGTTGTTATTTATAGATATAAGTATAACAAATGATTGTTGTTATTTGTAGATATAATTATAACAAATGATTGTTGTTGTTTGTATATATAAGTATATACAAATATTTGTATATACAAATGATTGAAAATAACTCTGTAATAAAGACTTAACAAATATTTATCAGCTACTGTGAGTGCTTTTAACGGCAAACCATTTACATTCACTCTTTAATGCTTGTATTACGCAATAAGAAATGGCTTTTTATCAAAACTGGAGTATGTTATTGGTTCATCAGCAAATAAAGTCATTTTAGAGGAAAGGTTGTCAAAAAGATCACCAATATACATTAGAAAAATGTGGGGCCTAAGGATTTAACTTTGTGGGTCTCAATAGGCCTAAGGATGTAATTTTATGGCTCTCTATAGGTCACCAGAAATCAAGAAAAATGTTTTTCACGTTTCCGTATAATGCACAGTAAATTTTTAGGTTGTTGCTCTTAACAAATTGGAAATGTTGAGAAAATATTAAATTTTATAAAATCTAATAATCTCTCCTTAAAATATTAAAATCTGTTAATTGTATAACATTAAGATCTGTTAATTGTCTAAAAAATCTAATAAAAAGCGGTTTTAAAAGTTTTTTAAAATAGGACTCTTCATTAAGTTACAAAACAAGATATAAAATCATTTTTTATGTAGACTTAAATTAAACTTAAAAAAACATAAAATTGATTGTACTTCGAGAGGATTCTATGTCTCTTTAAATCCAGCTGTTAAAGCCCATGCTTGTCGATATTCTTTACACATGTGTCGTTCATGGTTATTGGTATTGTATCCACCTGTACGCCCATAATTATATTATTGTATTTTTTTAAAAGTTATTCAATTGATTTTATTTATTTTTATTATAATTCACTTTTTACAGATTTTACTCGATTGTAGGAGGAACTCGTCAGCATCCATCAAGCCTTTATTAACGGCAAACCCGAAATACGAGCTTTGTTGAGTGACTTTTGTCAATTTGTATTATTACGTAAACCCGATGATGTTTACTCATTTGCGGCTGAATATTTCAGAGGATTTTCGACAAAAAATATTAAAGATGTCGAAATGACTTAACTGTTATAAAAAGTAGAAAATTTGCGCTGGTTGCAATTTTTACGAATTTTTTTTTTAAACGATTTTGAAAGGTGATATAGCTAATGATTATTTTTTTCGATGATTTTTTTAATTTTAGAAAATACCTCAAATTTTTTTCATACTTTGATTCCGAAGGTTTGTTTGTGTTTTAAGGTTAAGAAATGATATCATTCAATCATTTATTATGGTTATTTGTAGTATATGAACATATAAAGTTATTGTTATTAAATTGTTTTTGCATTGTATATAATCTGTTAATTATTTGTTGATATATTTTGTTCAAAGATATTTGATATATATATAAATTAGGGTGATTTTGCTTAAGGAAATTTTTAAAACAAAAGTACGAATCCCGATAAATTTAGTGCAAATATGTAAAAAAAAAAAAAAATAATCAGGTTTTAAAACATTCTACTCAATAGTTTTTAGAAAAAGTTTCGTTTATATAGTTAATGAATTTTTTTTTCGATAATTTTTTTTAATCTTAGAAAATACCTCAAGTTTTACACTTATATAATTATGGGCATACAGGTGGGTACAATACCAATAACCATGAATGGTACATGTGTAAAGAATATCGATAAGCATGGGCTTTCGGTAAAAAAAAATTGCGAGTTTCTATGACATTGAAGGGTGGTCACCAATAAACTTATATTGCTTAAATATTTTTAAAATGATGCTAACCCACTGATCTCTATAATAATTGGATAGCGCATCTCTATTATCAAAAGTGAAGCCAATTTTTTGTACGGCCGCCATATTGGAAAGCCCCAAAATACCGAAAATACAGTGATTGCGCTTGAAGATGTACCTTTTTACTTCGTTTATATCTACTCGACCAAGTCACATATTTCAATGATATTATTATATTTAAAATGTTTGAAGGTGTAAAAATTATAAAAGGGAATCAAAAACACGCAAAACAATAACGACGAAGAGAAATATCGCTATAAAGAAATAATAAAATTTGTATTGCTTTCTATGAACTTGTTAAATTTATTGAATTTATGATATTCTAAATAAAACTTTTCTGAAAGACAAATTGATATTTAATCTGGTTACTTTTGGTTGTTTATTTTAACAACTTGATGCGACCTTACTTAACAATAGTAACTGGAAAGTAACTTTGCAAGTATAAAACATGATAAAAACATTGTATCAAACATTTTTGTAAATGGTTTTCTAATTTTTGAGACTATGAGGTCATGTTTATATTGTTCCACTACTGAAATATCATCAACTTATGCAATACTTTATTAAAATTGATATCACTTAATAACAATGTTTTGTTCTGTTGCTTTGCTAACTTTAATTACACTTTGTGAAGGTTTGACAAAGCCATCTCTAACTTTAAAAAACACTAGATATTTGATGATAACTAGTTATTTGCAGTTTTACATTAAAGTGTTTAGTGATTTAGACTAAATAACAGCATACATGTTGATTGTGTATATGTAAATATGGTATAAATGAAAACAGACACGGTTTCTATCAAGTTTTTTTAAAACTATTGACTCTAAAGTAAAATAATAATGATTCAGCTAACATCTATCAGTTTTATACTGATAAATATTAGTTGTATAATTAATAAATATTAAAAATATTTCTTGTGAAAACAAATAAGCAACATAAAAGACCAAAATGAAAGGTGATCAATTTTTTTTCTAAGTGTACATGCTTTTTTACTTTTCCCTACCACATAATACCTTTTTATTCAATGTTTATTTTGTTATTCAATGCTTATACAAGTTATTCAATGATTATTTTGTTCAAGATGATAGAGCTAACTATTATTTTATTTATATTTTTTTACTTTAACATATTCTTTTGTAATTGCAATATCTATACAAATGTACTGGTGTTGTGAAAATGTCTAATGGCATTTACAAAAATGTCTTGAAAGTATTTTTCGACAGTTAAGCGTTAAGTGAATATATATATATATATATATATATATATATATATATATATATATATATATATATATATATATATATATATATATATATATACATATATACATATATGCACACGCCAGAACAAAATTATTAAAAGTAAATATAACGGTTTGCTATATGTTGCCTAAGGAACCTTTAAGTTTGTGTTACAATCACATTGCCTAACTAATGATTCATACAGCAAACTTGTAAGCTGTTTACCTTGCAAATATGTTACAAGCCTCAGGCATTTTGCAGAGGGCAATTAAGAATCAAAAGGTGCATACTAATATACACTTGGATGCTATTATCATCATATTATACCAGGGTGGCCAGCCAACTGGAAATCACGGAAAAGTCAGGGAATATTTTTCTAGTCAGGGAAATCAGGGAAAAATGTCTTTTTTGAAAATGTAAGGTTTTTTTTTACTTACTCCCAAACAACAAAACTTAAAAATTCACACTTTAAAATATAACTGAGTCAGGGAAAAATATATGAAAAGTCAGGGAATTTAATTGTTGAAAGTGGCTGGCCACCCTGTATACATAATTTATATATATATATATATATATATATATATATATATATATATATATATATATATATATATATATATATATATATATATATATATATATATATATATATATATATATATATATATATATATATATATATATATATATATATATATATATATATATATATATATATATGCATGTATGTATATTTATGTCACTCTCCATGAAATAATCTGAACATATAACATCAGATTTACTTGGTTTTTAATAATCAATGCATTTATAAGGTTTTTGAATTTTTTATTTATCAAGTGAAATATGTGTTTTAAGCGCATATAAGTTTAACGCAACTACGCATTTATAAATTCTGGGGCTTTCCAATATGGCGTCTTTTGGCTTCAAAAATTTCGAAATTTTATTAGAAGATGCGCTATCCAGTTATTATAGAGATCAGTGGGCTAACCTACATGTTTGACATTTAAAGTCATCGCATTTTTGATTTGGCCTTATTTTTCTTCATTAGAAAATCGAAATTATATTTAACTTAGTTAAATATAGAGTATAAGAGACAATAAAGACAAACAACTATTAAAAGAAGGATTTCGATGATTATATAGAAATAATTATTCATCTACTTTAAAAATTTAAGTTAAACGACTCTACCATATTTAAATTGCTTGCTTTTTAAAAGTGTTTAATTTTGTTCCTCTTGAGTTATACCATATTCTGCAAACTTGATTTGCAGAATATGGTGTAACTCACACAGAACAAAATTATAAAAATTACAATTTTGTTCCGCGTGAACAAAACTATAATTTTGTATAATACTATAAAATTTGGATTTCTTTACTCTCTTCTTCAAGTGACAATCAGTATAAAGATAAATGCAGTCACTTGATGATTACAATATTAAATCAAATGTCGGTGAATTGAGCTTTGAAACAACGTAATTATATAAAAACAACATTAACAGAATCTACGATAGTTTAGCTAAATATGTTTTCCGACTTGTTTGAAACGCGTATTTACATTCTAAGTTGCAAACTCATGTGAAATACAGTTTTTAATACTTCCAAGGATCCTTGGTCCAATTTTCTTTAATATTTTAATAAAAAACATATTTTTATCTATTAAAAATACTTAACTTTGCAATTTTGCTGATGACAAAACTCCCTGTGTTTTTTCTCGTTTGCAAGGGGAAACTAATAATTTTATTAAATTTATTAAAGTCTAAATTTTTGTAATATTTTTGTACTTTTGGATGTTTTGTTCAAATATGACAATATTAATAAAATTAAAATAACCTTTGTATAGTACACAAAAGAAGAGTATAGTACACAAAAGAAGAGTATAGTACACAAAAGAAGAGTATAGTACACAAAAGAAGAGTAGAGTACACAAAAGGTTCGATGACTTTTAAAGAGTTATTAGTATAATAGTTACACTCGAGTTCTTAAAAAAAGGAGAGGGGGACGTTTATTAATTTTTGGAAATATTTCCCACCTACCCCAAGCTTATTAAGACCCCCTTCCTATCCCCGTTAATTAACTCTTGTTGACAGAAAAAACTTTATATCTCAAAACTAAAAAAAAAAAATCAATGAAAATCGGCCATAAAAATTAGAAAGCAGTCCTTTCAGTCACTAATAAAAACAAAAACTTTCAGCGACGATACCGGGGCACGTAACCCCCCTCTTCTACCAGCCCTCACACACACTTTTTATCTAAAGGACATTTTTTTTTCTTTAAAAAATTCTAGATATAGAGGACTTTTTTAAAAAATTGATGATTGTACCCCTCCACTTTGAAACCCGATATCATTCCTGGCCATGATATCACTTAATATCATGTATATCACTTATAAGTGATATACATGCTCACATGTATTAATTAATACAAAGAATATAATGTGGTTATGTCAGAAATACATTTCCAGATTCTCAAAAAGATTGTGAAGAAAAACCTAGAGAGTCACAGGAATTACCAAACATGCGTTTGCGCTTCCAACGACAAAAAAAAAACGCTAAACAAATGCCAAAGGATGGTTCACCTTTTCACAAATATATGGAATATTTGTAGATTTCAGCACCCTCCCCCTCATCCTCCAACCTTTTTTTTAATGTTATTATTATTTTTTTTTTAAATAGCATTACATTTTTACAAAACTTTTTCGGTTTTTAAATTCGATTTTTTTTATGAATCGAATTTAAGTATTCCTTTAAAAGATTAATTTATTGTTTTTGTCAAACGCGATAACATGTTGCTGGTTTAACATAAACTACAAACAAATCTATAATAGAAAAATTCAAGGCATTAAAGGACCTGGAGAAAGTGATGTCTAATAAAAAAGTTGCCCAAAAGTATGGTGTCCCGAAAAACACAATATCAACCTGGGTTAATAATAAAAACAAATTTTTAAAATGGCTGGAAAAAAATGGCACAAAATCTAAACGGAAGAAACTCGTAGTAGTATTTACAAAAAATCTAGACAAGGCTACATTCACGAGGTTCGTCGCAAAAAGTTACACATATAATTTTTATTAATATAATAATTACACATTGAATTTTTCAAATGTGTGATTAAAATTCAATCATTCTGTTTCTATTTTTAGGAACGGCATCAGCTTTAAAATAACCTAAAGCGAAAGTGCTGCTGTAACGAACGATATGATTGTTTCATAGAAACTACACTTCCAACATTGCTTTTGAATTATAAATTTGAAAAGATTTTTAATGCCGATGAGTTTGGACTATTTTACCAGTATCTACCAAACAAAACGTACCATTTATCACGAAAAATTTTTTTGGGGATCCAAAATAGTAAAATCTTTTTACAGAATGGGTATAGAAGCTTGACTCTTTTCGTGCTTGAATCTTTTCGTGCTCATGACAGGAAAGTAGCATTCTTGGTGGTTACTGATCTGTCCATCCACTCATTGAAGGGCTAAGCAACACCAACCTGATATTTCTTTCCCCTAACACCACATCTGTCCTTCACCCCATGGATCAAGGCGTAACACAATGTCTTAAAGCTAGATCAGTATGGTCACAAAATTGTGCGTTTGTGTATCAAACTGTCGATAACAACAAACCCAGTAGAAAATTTATATACTACTTGTTAAAACACCGTCAACATCTTCTGGGCGTCAGTACCACATCACAAAATAAGACGAAACTCTATTTGAACATCACTTATTTTGTTAATGAAAGTTAATGAATATTTTACTTTCATTATTTAAATTATATAAACTTCAGTTTTAGTCATATTTGGTTTATTCCTTTTTTTTGTTATTTTTGAGCTTTTTTCAATAAAGCAGATTTTTTACTATTTTTTAATTTAGGTTTGCATTTTAGTTTCTTATTTTTTAACACAACAATACCCTATTATTAGACATAAAGTAATAATGTTATGTTAAATTATTATAATTAATAAATAAAGAAATTATATTTTCAATTTTTTGTATAATAAATTATATTTCCATGTGTACTTTTGAAAATATTGATTATAAATATGCATGTTATGCAAAGCATTAAAAATATTTTATTTTTTTCTAGAAACCTAAACTTTTTTAAGACCTCTTATTTCACAATAAGAGTAAGGCAACTTCAGAAATAAGGAAAGGTAAACCATGGTTAAGAAATAAAAAAATTTAACTGTTGATATTTTAAAATTGAAAAATTATACTCAAATACTGGGGATAGGGTTCATTTATCTTTATCTTTGTATTCAATACCTTTAAAATTGGCCAGGTACCAATTTTCAGTCATATTTCTCCTCTAGAACTTTAATTATTCACACAAAAAGTATCGCTATAAAGTCTATAATGGAGAATAGAGGCTAAAAAATGATTTTTTTTGTCTAAATTTTAAAATGACATATCTTAATAATTCTTGAAGAAACCAAAACCATCTTTTTTATAACAATAGCCTAGTATCATCTACTTTGTTTGAAAAAAAATTAAATCCACGAGACTTGGGCAACTCCGAGAGTTGATAAAAGCGCAACCCATGGTAACAGAACAAAAAGTTGGACTGACCATTTTAAAATCAAAAAATAACCATCAAAAAATTTAAATTTCACTATTTGCTTTACATTTTTGAGTTCAGCACCCTCAAAAATGGTCAGGTACCCATTTTTAGCCACATTCATCCACTAGATTTTAAACTATTCAACTGCAAAATCCATAATGGCGGACTTGGCAAAAAAAGAAACGTTTTAGGCTGAATTTCTAAACGTCATAACTTTTGAACAATTTGGATTTGGTAACTCAAATCTTGCATTTTTTCATGTTTCATTATAATGTACCACTGGGTAAAATTTAAAGAAAATCCAAGAGGTGACTGAAATGACTGTCCCAGTTTTACATGGAATGACCCTATTGTAAAATGACTTTGACAATTTTTTTTTTACAAAACATAGCAAAGTTTTACTATTTAGCACTGCCATATGTAAACTTTATATATTCATTTTCACATAAATCGTTTAATAAATGGTTTACATACTTATGAAAAAAATTAAAATCATGCGTTTATTAAATGTAGGATTTTACATATATAAGTATATGTAGGATTTTACATATATAAGTAATATAATTAATATATTTCTCATAGTATAAGTAATATATTATCAAATATACAACTTTTAAAAAGTGTTAATTCTTACATTTATTTTATGCATTTACAAATGGTCTAAAGTTTTTATATCAATCAATCAATATATATTTCTGAAATATTTGGTATTACATTCAAGGTTCTTTACAAATAGTACAAACTACTAATACTTAAATAATTTTTATTACGAATCATTTGTAAATAAAAGTAATTAATAATAAAAATGATAAACTGCCCAGTTAACCACCACAAGTGGGCCTCAGCTGGGATGTAACTAGATTATTGGAACTAAGTTATCGCTGGGATTTAAACTGGGCAAAAGATGAGTCCCATATCGTGTAAGGATTGCGGCAAAAATTATGCTTGAAAATATGATAAAATCTTTTAAAATGACATACAGTAACGCAGACTGATTTGGATTGAATATACACTTTTGGAGTAAGCAGGAACTTAATTTGGTTCATTTTTAGTATTTTTTGTAAAAAATAATTATTTACATATAAGTTTTAATTCTATAATAAAAATATAAATATTTTATTAGCAATATTTAGACATTTATTTAACAAACTTTTACAAAAAAAAAAAAAAAAAATGTGGCAAATGTATTTTCAAATTAGTTTATACGGTTTGGTATGCTAGCAGTTATGGCTTAGTCACTAAGTTACAAAAACGAAATACACTAAGTTAGTGTGTTTCGTTTTAAATTATCTTATTGTAACTGATATTATAAGTTATAGGTTTTATATGAAAAAATGTTTAAATTATTTATATTGTGAATTATTTATAAATAATCGAAAGTATTAACAAAAATTATTAGGCGTTTTAACGTTTAGCTTTATTTGTCTGTAATAATAAAAAAGTTACCACATTTTGTTTGAATATATTTATTTATTAAATACATTTTTAAATTCTTTAAAATTTAAAAGTGTATATATTTTTATAGCAATATTCAGACATATGTTTAAGAAACAATTTGGCTAGTCTAAGAGAGAAATGTTGAGTTTTAAGGTTTTAAGATGTTTTTTAAATAATTATCACAGGATGTTATATAATTTTTTAAGATTATGTTAAGAAATAAATTAAATATACAATCATAACTACTACTCAATGCTACTCAATTGCAATATAAAATACTACTCAAGTGCAATATAAAATACTACTCAAGTGCAATATAAAATTGAAAATGTAGTTTTGATACTAAATATTGCAAAAACTGAATGTTTGAATAATCATGAATGTTTTTTATTTTTCACTTTCTTTAGTAAGTCAATTTCATTGTGTTATTATATGATATCATTTAGTCATATATAATATGTTTATTTACAAAGTTATAAAAAAGATATCAAATTTTTTTTGTAATACATTTTTTATTTATATTATTTTTGTACTTTTTAACTTTATTAAATTTATTAAAGAGGTTCAATAGTATCTCTATTTTGTTTTTAGAGTTGGTTTGTGTTGATTTATGATTAGCAATAGAAAACATAATACTTCAACAAATGTTAGTTTTTTATACATAAAAGTTATGAAAAATCTCCTATGAAATGGTTCATCTAAATCTAGTAAGTGTACACTTAATCTGACTAATTATTTTGAATTCAGAAAGTTCAGGAAAGTTTTACTTTCCCCGAGTTTTATTATCTTAAATTATTAGTTTACAGAGTTTGATAAAATAAATAAAATAATTTCTGTATATTAAAAATATATAAAATTTGCAAAATATACAGGTTTTTCCTATTATTGACATGGGCTTCTGTGAATGGATAAGTTCTAAGTTATCTATGTATAATGATTTTTTAAACCAATTAATTAGGGTGTTTTTTAGAAGCATATTTTTTAGAATCTGCTGTGAAAATAAATTTAATATATAATCACAAAATGTAGCTCTAAGACAAAGTTAAACAATAAATTTTGGTCCATGATAATTGAAATATGTTATGTTTGACTAATTATGAATATAACTATTATATATATTAATATAAGTACTCTACGCTTGTTTATAAATGTAAATTTTCATTGTGAAAATAATTTTAATACAAAATTTATTGTGGTCAAAACTACAATTGTTTTAAATTTTTTTAAATATATGAAATTGTAAAAAATAATTATTTTCAAGTAATAATATCACCTAAAATGATCATCGTTGGGATAATATAACCTAAAATGATCATGTTAGTGATATTGATTATTTTTGCATTTATTAAATTATATAAAAGATATTAAACCCTCACCAACTGATTTAAGGGTTTGATGTCACGTTGAGTCAAGACTTTAAATTTTAAATGGGTCCACTGAGTTCTAATGGAGTTTATCTGAGTTCTAATGGAGTTTATCTGAGTTCTAATGGAGTTTATCTGAGTTCTAATGGAGTTTATCTGAGTTCTAATGGAGTTTATCTGAGTTCTAATGGAGTTTATCTGAGTTCTCAAATTATGCAAATAATAAACAAGCTCTTATTCTTTAAAATTCACTATTTTCAATTTTTACCTGTTTGTAAACACTATGTCCTGTCATTAATCATCATCATAGTAGTCATGTTATTTTATTGTTGTTTACAAGTCTATTTATGTCATGCCTAATTAATAACAGCAAACATTTACCGTGAAATAACATTTTTTTTAGATTCCCTGGAGGTTGCCTGTTAAAAAGAAAAACTGAAGAAACTTTAAAACTACACCTTTTCTGGATCAATTTAAAAGGAATACGAATCAATTTAAAGGAATACGAATCAATTTAAAAGAAATACGAATCAATTTAAAAGAAATACGAATCAATTTAAAAGAAATACGAATCAATTTAAAAGAAATACTAATTTAAATTGATTCGTATTTCTTTTAAATTGATTCGTATTTCTTTTAAATTGATTCGTATTTCTTTTAAATTGATCCAGAAAAGGTGTAGATGATGGCAAAAGAAGAAATTGAAACACCGTTATTCATGGTGTCATATCGAGGCTTCAGTTCTCCAGTATTTATTTTTGTGTTTTATTATATATGTTATATTTATTTTTTATTTTTGTTATTTTTGTAACAACAAACTATGTGAATAATTAGTTGTCCTGTCCTGGGCCTCTACTTCAATCTGGCTATTGTTATAACACGTATATCGATTTATATACTGTATTGAGTTAGCTTGTGATTTGTACGTGTGTTTTTGTTTGCCTAGTGTTTGTTAGTTATATGCAAGATATGGCATGTTATGGCACACTGCATGGTATGCCCTAAATAGTATTATCAATAAATATTTTTATCTATATTTTGTAAATATATATGCTATAAACTATTATATTATTCAAATGTTTATTTTTAATTTATAAAATTAGTGTAAAAGTGGATGAAAGCACTAAAGAAGCCACAAGGCTGTTTCACTTAATATAAAAGCGAGCTTGACGTCACAATTATTTTTGTGTTTATCAAAAAAAATGTATTTCCGCAAAAAAAGTTTAAAAATGCACTAACTTTAAAATAATAGTGTTTTTTTCCTATAAACGCTTTCATCTTCAAATAAAAAAAATATAAAAGATCTATCTTTTTTTTTTAAATAAATATTTACATTAAACAGAATAAAAATATTAATGTTTAAATATTGCTAACGATTTGAGATCACTTTTCTGTTTTTTGTGGGTTTTACAGAAAACCTGTCTAGGTTCAACTAAGATTTCATAACATAGCTACATGCCTCATGGTTGAAATTTGGAACATTTATAAATAAATGTCTATTCTTTCTAATTTTGGTGCGGATTGCTTATTTTTTATTTTTTAACTATTTTTTAATGCATTTATATTTTTAATTTTATTAAATAATGAAAATCGTATTATTTTTGTAATCCGCACCTAATTTTTGAAATAACAACCATTTCTGCAAAATCAAAAAATTGTTTGCAACAACAAATTACTAAAATTTAACCAAGTTCATCATTTGTTGCGCTTTTTATAAACAAAAAGAAGTTTTTTTACTACTGTATTAAATGTCGCAGGATAAAACATTTTATCGTTGTTTTTATTCCTTTTACAAAACAAAATTATCTCTAATATTTCAAAAGTTATAAATGTTTTAGTAACACCCCCTAAGTCAAAATTTTCTAAAAAAAAACAAGAAGCCGTAAAGCTCACTCTGAAACAGCCGTGAAGCGTAACGATAAACTTTAAAGCAGAATTTTGTCATGCTATTATAGCGGCGATAGGAGAGAACTAATGTGGCAATTTATTACTATCGTAAAACAGTTTTGCATCAAATCAATGTATATAAGTTTTTTTGTTGCTTAAAAATATTATGAAATTCAAATCTGTTTTTTCAATCGATTCGTAAAAATAATGTCAGGCCAATTATTCATTTGCCTAATACATTTTATTGCTATGACAGCGAAGTAAATATAGATAATATAAATAACTTTTACTTTTTAGTTTAATATAAAAAAATACGATGCTTTTAATTCAAAAAATTGTCACATTTCGCAGATTCGAAATACAAAAAATCTGGGAAAATAAAAAGGCAAGTCTGTAAGTCTATAGGCTATCACCTATAGACTTACAGACTTGCCTAAATACAGGGTTATTCATTCTTATATGCGCGTCTACTCCTTTTTATATGCGTGTTTATTCATTTTTATATGCGCATTTATTCATTCTAATATGCGCATCTATTCATTCTTATATGCGCTTTTATTCATTCTTATAAGCGTGTTTATTCATTCTTATATGCCTTTTAAATAAGCAATTTTAACAAAAAAAAAAGTCATTTAAGCAATTTTAGTAATTAGGCCTTTGTTTAATTTTATTATTAAATTTATTGATTGATTAAATTATTACTTATCTAAATACTCATTTATCTGAGCATATCAATATAAAAATATAAAAGTCAATTTATTGTTTATATAAAATTATAAATATTAAAATAATATTAGAGATTTTATGGGTAGTTGAGTCGCATATAAACGCGCATATAAGGATGAATAAAGGCACATATAAGAATGAATATATTTTGTTTTCATTGTTGTTTTTGTCAATTTTCAGCTTTTTTACTTAAATAACTGTCAATTAGATAAAACGGAGAAGTACTTTATAATGTTAATTTACAGACAATATTATGCAGGTATAACAAAATGCAATATCACGTATAGTAAGTAATTAAGTTTTTTTTTACTGATTTGATTGTAGGCATTACAAATTATAATATAGTTATGAAAAAACAAAAAATGATCTAACTTTTTTTGGTCTGTGGAAATAGGAAAAAAAAATTCTAACCTCCCAACCTAATATGGTTATATAACATGTATGACATTTTCTTAGCTGAGATTGCAATCCCACAGGATCCCGCATATTTTAGCACTTGCAAGATCCCGCACTAACTAACGCAAAATACGCGGGATTCTGCATTAATCAGTTACCTTAAAGAAATGCATTAAAAATTTTTTTTTTGCTTCGTTAGTCACTAGAAATTAAGAATTAAGAATGCCGCACTCCTCTTCAGAATATTTAATTATACTTAAAAGTAGCGCATTTGTCTTCGTTTTTTTTAACCTCCTCCCAAGCTAATAATCAAAATGAGAAAACTTACTAAGCATGTCGCACAGCTAAGCAATATGGAGCTACTTATAAAAAAGTGAAAAAGTTGAAAATGTAAAGCGTGTTAGGGTCAGTGATACTCTGGTAGCTGGGGTAATTTGAAAGGATAATGCATCTGCGAATTGTCTTTGTATCTGCTAGTAAACCCAGGCGCACAACCTCTGCACGGTGAAACTGGGAGCTTGGGTTGGTGATCAAGGAAATGCCTCATGGGACTTCATAGATAAGAAGTAATAAAAAATACTATTTGAACGCACCATTAAGGGGTTATGGTGTCAACAAGTATCTGGTGCAACTTATTAAATGAGCAATAAAATTTCAATATGTGACATATTGTCATGAAATAAAACTTGAGATTATTGATACCTTGAACAAGAAAAACAATGGAGAGATTTAATAACTGCTGACTACGCGGGAAGGTTGTAAAAAAGAAGATAAACAAGGTTAAACACTAACGGTGAAAAAGTTATAAATGAAGACTACGGTTTGACAATACATAGAATTACGCGTCTGGTCTATTGGTTAGCACTTACAACGATCTCATTAATAAAGTGAAAAAAGCTATGAAAATCTTGGAACATGGCAAAACGTTAACTTTGTTTTGCAATCATAAGATAATTGGAGCAGTCTTTTCGATATATTTGATCAATATCATGGACAAAAGTTATGTTTCAAAAAAAGTTCGTTTTACACAAGAATAATGGTCTCCAATCAATAACTTAATTATTTATCTGGTATCACTGAAACTTGGCTTCAAAGTCTTATGCTTAAGAGAATCGAATCTTACCATTGCGGAAACAACTTTTCAATTTATGATTGATAAATTAGGTCAGTAATCATTTATTTTAAGCATTGATTTAGCCCCAGCACCTCTTGAGAGATTTACACAACGTCGTAATAACAATTTATCTGATATTGATTTGCTTACAAAATTCAAAAAACAAGAAATTAAAAAAAAACGAAAAAATATTTTCAATGCTGAAAAAAACCGTTATGCGTAAAGAAATGTTTATACAATTAAAGTCAAATTGAAAAAATAGTTTATACAATTAAAGAAAATGAAGGCGAAGTAATAAAGATGAAGAATGTATTGACGATTCCCATCAACTTACTCCTACTATCGTCACAACTCCTTCTATCGTTAAAAAAATATATCTAGAGAGCAAAAAAAAAAACTTGCTGCTGCATCTCAAAAAGAGGAAAGTGCAAAATTTTTGAAAACAACAAAAAAAAAGTATTCAAGACTCAGAAAATAATATTCGGATAGAAGAGCCCGTTCGTTCATGTTATTCTTGTGGTGATGATTGGGAATGGCTTAAATGCGAACAGTGTGCTAGGTCTTGCGTCGCTTGTGTGATTGGTTAGCATCCTACTATGGAATTTATATGCGTGGAATGCCAATAAAATATATTTAGCCAAAACATAACTTAAAACAATTCCATTTATGTAAAATGTTTAAAACAGTTTCGTTAATCAATTTAATGAGCTTACGCGTGTATTTTTTCCATTTTTTCTATTTTGAATCCATTCGGAATAAAGCTCACAGAACCCTAATTCCGGATTAAAAACTCCAAAAAGTTCTTACCCTACGGGCATTTGTTTTTAAAAGTTACGTTCTAAATGTCTTTTAAACGTTTTTTAAACGTCTTTAAAAACGTTTAGAAAACGTTTAAAAGTCATTTAAAATACATTTAGAACGTAACTTTTAAAAACAAATGCCCGCTGGGTACGGTCTTATTACAAAACACTGCGGAATAGCATTAAACCAGGAAGTTCACGGCTTCTTCCTTACCGGACAGAACTGGCTTTGAATGATGAACCTCCAGTTCTGAATCCAGAACTTTAATAACTACACCACGGCTGCTCAAACTTAGGGAATGAAATCAGTGATGAATTATTTGCTAAAACCTGTTTAGTTTATTTCATAAGTTATATATATATATATATATATATATATATATATATATATATATATATATATATATATATATATATATATATATATATATATATATATATATAAAATAATAACTCTAGAACTAATTTTTAATGTCCGAATTTCCCCTAATTGTTTTTCTTTGTAGGGAATTTCGTTCTCATATTTGCGCTTGTTTATCTAACGAGACTCTCTCCCTTTTAAACAAGGTCCAAAAGAGTGTTTTAAATTTTGCTGATCCTGCATCTTTTTTTCTTTTCTACAAATACTACCATGTTTGCTGCTAAAATGAGCTTATACAATTGAATGTATAACTAAAAATTTTCAGTCGTTCTGAATACACCGAGTAAATACAATAATTCGCCAAACCAAGGAAAGTTTCTTTAACCACCTTAATCATACACGCCATTTATAAAAAAGGAAGAACTTGCTTCATTTTGTTTTACAAGTTTGAATGAAATACCTAAATGTTTTACTGTCTCTAAAATAGAAACACACAAAAAGCGTGAGTTGTTAGTCATAGCTTTGACAATAAAGGTTTTAGTCTATTTTACAACTATGCACTTTTTACTATTAGTTTATATACTTGGTAATTATTTTGAACAGATAAAATGCGCAGTTACTATGTATTTCAGATATTTTCAATAAGTCGTGGTTCTATTAAATAAAACAAAGAATATCAGTAGTACCAAATAAAAGTAATAATGTTACGGAATCGGGTAACGATTAAAGTTTTGTAAAAGTTTTTTTTATTTTGTTCTAAACAAATTTTTTTTTTTGGTTTAGAACAAAAAAGGGTTTTTTGGCCACTGCGCAGCAGTACAGTACAAAAGTGTGTTTTGAAACAAAACTATGCAGAAAGTTATGAAAACAAATGTTAAAACGATTGTTTTAGCTACATGGTGCTTATTTCGACGCAGACACCGACCAAAGTTTGTGAAAAATTTAGAAAAAAAAACGCTCAACTGTTAAAAAGTCTGTTCGGAATTAACTTTAGTATAAGTAATTTAAAAGCATTAAATATTTCAAAAAAAATTGTCTTTGATAAATGTTTATTTTTGATAGTTATTTATTTTTTTTATTTTACTTAAGATAATGAATTCTCGCACTTGTTTGCTGCTTGCAGTGTTTGCCATTTTGCAACAATGTTATTCGTTGCTTGATTTGAGCGGTAAGAATACCCTTACGTACTAATAGCTATTAATTTTATAATAATAAAATCCTTAAATAATGTGAAACAGTAATAACGAAGAGTTTTTAAAAAAGATAGCTTAAAATACCCGATTTTGTTTTTCATTTTCATTAGAAAAAAGCCAACCAAGCAAGGCTGAAAGAACAGCTGCAGAAGCTATTAATAAACTGCTTCAGGAAAAAATGGGTTAGAACTTTTTTATACACTCTCAAATAATAAAAACTTTGGTTATTAAATAACTCTGATATAATTTATAACCATAGGATTAAAATGCAAAACTAATTATCAAAATTTTTTTTTCGCATTATTTTATTATTAGAAAAATTGTGGATACCAAAGAAACATAAATCCTCATCTCCTTCTTTTTTATTTAACCTCTTTATGATAGAATCCTTTTCCTTAACCTTAGAGGAATTATAATATAGTAAAATGTATTTTTATTCTTGTAGCTTCAAAGTTTAAAGAAGCTGCAAACGAAGTTAAAGGTGCTCTTGTCAAGCATTTAGGTAAACTGTTTTGCAATACAGTAATACAAAAAATGAGTTATTTTTTATAAGCTTGTCTTTGCATGTTTTTTATTCCTTTCTACAGGTGACAGTTTGAAGAGTGCACATAAAAAAATGATACAGAAAAAAAAAAAGAAAACAAATAAGAAAACAAGTAAGTTCTTAAATAATGAGAATAATTTTATCACAATCTTGTTCTCACCCTTTCCGTCCTTGTTACCAATAGTTTATTTGGAAAGTAAAAATATAAAAAAACAAATTTATTACTTTATTATTTTTATTGTTATCTTTGCTATTAACTTAATTTTGATTTTATTAGATTGATCTTTTTTTAACAACACAAGGTCAAAACCAATTTAGGAAGATTTCAGTGATAAAAAAAAAAAAGATCAAATGTGTTCTATTAAACCTTTAAGATATATTCAAAAGTTTTCCTAGCGTAAGCAAAGATTTGGTCTAGCGAGACCAAAGGTTTTAGTAATTTACATTGATTTTGTATATCTACACCATTTGACATCAAAACATTTTCCCGACAATTATAACCTCTACACAGAAGAGCTTTTTATTTAATTTTTTTTTATTTTTCGTACTTTACACTTTCTTTCACGCAGTTAAAGTTCAAATAATTATTATTTTTTTAAGTTTCCGTTTCATTGTCGTTTCAAAGCAAGGGAAAAATAAATTATTAACAGTGTGTCTAATATTATCACTTTTGTCTATTTCTTTGACACATTTCAATTGCATTTAAATTTCAGAAATATAAACTTTAAAATACAATATTAATTTGTTAGCGATTTTTTTGTTTTTTGATGGGCTTAAGATTTAAAATTTCTAATAATAACGAATCTAAAACCAATCTAAAAGCAATCTAAAACCAGTTATATTAAAGGCTTTTAAACCTTTTTCCATTTTGTGCAGATCTGTAAAAAAAAATTCTAATCAAAGTATCTTAGGGTTCTATCTTAAGTAGCTTGTATTGTTGGGCTGTAATTAACGCAAAATGCAAATGTACATTTTGCGTTAATTAGCGCAACAGCATTTAATATGCAGTTACAACAACCGCATTTTTGCGTTAGCTAGTGTTATTTACAAATAGTTTAACGAATGTAACCAAAAATGTTTTTTGTTTTTTTTCAAATTCATTAAAAAAATTCTTGCAATTTGGGTTAAATCAATTTTATCAACTCCTTTTTTACGAATATGAAAAACCAGCAAGTTATTCAGACGGGAATTTGTTGCAGTTAATCTTCAATCAACAGCAACAAATTTTTAAAAGTGATGAAAGACTTTTTAATAAGAACATTTAGAAGCTGACCTGACAAGAATTTAGAAGCTGACCTGACAAAATTTAGAAACTGACCTGGCAAGAATTGAATTGGCAATCTTTACGTCTTTGGTAAGTAAAGTTGCTTTGAAGTGGTCCAAACTCTTGGGAAACAAGATGAAATCATGGATTATGAATATTTGGTGTCAGCTGTTGGCTTTAATGCTAGGAAGAGAGGTAGTTTGAGCTTATGTGAAAAATTGGTTAATTATTTAAATGTAAAAGCAGAGGCTAGTTACTATAGTTACAAAGAAAAGTTAGGCTTAGTTAAGCCATTTTTCGATATTGAAGGTACCAAATGGTTGTTAAACCTACTAGCGAATTGCAAGGTTCCTTCAAGTGCATGATTTTAAAGGCATTTCATCTTGTTTGTTATTGTTTTTCGTAGGTGTAAAATCGTTTATATATATATATATATATATATATATATATATATATATATATATATATATATATATATATATATATATATATGTATATATATATATATATATATATATATATATATATATATATATATATATATATATATATATATATATATATATATATATATATATGTATATATATACATATATATATATGTATATGTATATATATATATATATATATATATATATATATATATATATATATATATATATATATATATATATACATATACATATATATATATATATATATATATATATATATATATATATATATATATATATATATATATATATATATATATATATATATATATATATATATATATATATATATATCAGGGATACGCAGTACCAAAAGGACTGCAGATATGAAAGGCACAAAAAGTTACTTCTTCCTAGTTTTTGGTTTCCAGGAGCTCTAAAAATATAGACAAGTTTATGGACTACTAATAGGAAAAAAATTAAGACTTTTGGGTAAGAAGAACAAAAATTTTTGGAACCCGGAGTCCTTAGATATAATGGCGGCAAGGACTCCGGGACTCCAGGACTCCGGGCTTAAAAACAATAATTTTCAAGTCATTAAATCTCACGAATTTTTTATGTTTAGAGCTTTTCCAGCTAGCTCACATATGTTGTTAAAACATTAGAACAATGTCGCGCGTTTTGTTGGCCCAACATCGGCTGCCAACGTTGTTTTTATATCATTATGGTTTAAAATACGACGGCGCCAACAACTAAAAACCCATGTAGATAAAACGTTTTTTTAAAGTCAGAAAGTGGTTATATTTTCTATGTTGATACAACGCTTTATTTTATACGTTGGCACAACGTTGTATTTTAAGTTGCTACAACGTTGTATTTACGTTGATTCAACGTTGAACATTATTTGGAAAAACGTTGTATTCATTATTATTCGGAATTAAATTTTCATAAAATTCTATATATATATATATATATATATATATATATATATATATATATATATATATATATATATATATATATATATATATATATATATATATATATATATATATATTAGTGTTGCGAAGCTAAAATTTACCGGAAAATTTTGAAAATTTACCGCCTGGTAAATTTTAAATTTTTTTTTTTTTTTTTTTTTTTTTTAAATTTTTTAAAGGAAAATTTACCTTTCTCTAATTAAAATTTACCGGTAAATTTTAAATCAAATTTTACTGGAAATTTACATCACTAATATATATATATATATATATATATATATATATATATATATATATATATATTATATATATATACAGCTACGAAAAATAAAATAGCACCACCACCAAAAATTGGTTGAAGTTAGAAATTTTAACTATTTTTGATGGTTTGAAAATCTTTTAAATACATATTTAAAAGTAAAATGGCTCATAATTTTTATAAAAAATAAAATATATAAGTTTTAATAAATAATATTCATTTATTAAACAAAAATTCAAAAAAAAAATCAAATAAAACGCGACAAAAATAATAGCACCACAGCTTTAATGTATACTTTAAAATAAGGAAATATTATGAGATCAATCGTTTTAAACGTTGTACAATAAATATTAGTTATTTCTTAACGTATTAGTATTTTGTAGCGTGACCTTTATTGACAATAACGGCTACACAAAGTCTTGGCATCGAGTTAACCAAGTCCTGACATCGCTTTAGCGGAATTTCGCTCCATGTGTCCTTAACTACGTTCCAAAGTGACTCCTTCGTGGTGGGTTTGGTAGTAACAACCACCTCCTTTACGTCAGCCCTCAAATTCTCGATTGGTTTAAGATCTGGCGATTGTGCTGGCCACTTCGTAATGTTCACTTTATGCTCCTCAAACAAATTCTTTGCCTTCTTGCTAGTGTGCTTTGGTTCATTATCCTGTTGGAACACCCAGGACAACGGTATTTCATAGTCTGCATACGGCAACATCACTTTATCCAATATATTAACATAAACGTGTTGGTCCATAATAGTAGTATTGTGATGAATGGGCTTTACTCCGTAATAAGAAAAGCATGCCCATATCATTATACTACAACCTCCATGTTTAATAGTTTTCATGGTATATTTTGGATTGTATTCTGCATTTGGTGGTCTTCTGACATACGCCCGAGAGCCTTTTCCATCATAAAGCACAATCTTACTTTCGTCTGTCCATAAAATAATCCTCCATTTTTGGAGTAGCCAATTTGAGTGTTTTTTAGCAAACGCAATACGCTTTATAACATGTCTGGCACGTAGAAGTGGAACTTTTCTGGGGCTACAGGCTTTTAATCCATTTACTTGCAGACAACTCCGAACTGCTTGTACTGTTGCATCGATGTTAAAGTCCTTTTTCAGCTCGGTAGCTGTTTTAAAAGGTTCTTTTTTAGCCTGTCTGACTAAGCGATTGGCCAGCAATGTTGAAATAGAACGTTTTTGACCACGTATTTCAGGCTTTTCTTTAAATTTTATGGCATTTCTTATCATTTTATTGGAACACTCAACTAAACGATCAACTTCTCGATAAGATTTTCCTGTTGATATCAACTTTTGGATCAGTTCTCTTTTTTGTGCACTGCAATGCTTTCCGCTTTTCCATTTTTATATGTAAATGTCCTACTAATACTTACTAACATTACTAACATACTCCTACTAATACTTACTAACATAAAACGAATAATACAGCAAAAAAAAAACTTAAGACTTGCTATTTTCACAATAATTTTTACCGTTATCAGAGTATTTTACAACAAAAGAGTGTGAGGTGCTATTTAATTTTTCAGTCAGAATTAGCATTTTTGATTAAAATCGAGCAACACCAAGCATTTTTTTTCCCAAAATGATTTGTTTTAGAAAATAAACATGTTAGCTAATATTTTAAAAAGCAAAGCTATAAAAAAAATTTATTTTGCATGGTGTTTTTTTAACAAAAAGGAAAATACCTTTAGTGGTGCTATTTTATTTTTCGCGCAACTGTATATATATATATATATATATATATATATATATATATATATATATATATATATATATATATATATATATATATATATATATATATATATATATATATATATATATATATATATATATATATATATATTTATTTATTTATATAATATATATATATTTTTATAATATAATTTTAATATAATTTATACATATATAATAAAAAATATATGTATAATCTACATATATACATACAGCCGACGTACACATCTTATATAAAAAAATATTATACGCCAGAAATATATAATATACGCCGGAAATATATAATATATATATATATATATATAAATAGTATACGTCGGAAACGCTTGATCATCCGAACAAAAATCATGTTTGTGTTGGCTGTGGTTTGATATTTTAATAATCACGAAAGATTTTGTTAAAGTTATTTAATTTCGTAATAGCTATATTTGGTCGAATACATTCGATCAACGTTGGGTTTAGTTCGTAAAAACAATCAACTTTTTGCGATGTATTTACATACCTTAGATCAACGTTGATTTATATACATTGAATCAACGTCGAAATATATACATTGGATCAACATTGGGTTTAGATCGTAAAAACAATCAACTTTTTGCGATATTTTTACATAGATTGGACCAATGTAAATTTGCCAGATGTTTTTATTTCCGTCGGTAATAACTTTATCATTAACCAAATGACATTGGATCAACGTTGGTTTTGCATTGGAAAAAAGAGCCGACGTTCGCGATGGTTATACATACGTTGGCCCAATGTAAGTGTGCTAGCTGGGTCTGGACACTACAGACTAGGAAAAAGTAGAGATATAAAACTGGAGTCCTTTTGGGACTCCGCATCCCTGATATATATATATATATATATATATATATATATATATATATATATATATATATATATATATATATATATATATATATATATATATATATATATATATATATATATATATATATATATTGTATGATATTTTGTATTTGCAATAAAATACAAAAAACTCTTGAACGTATAAGAGTGCTCAATAATAAATAAATAGGATTTATTTATATTATTTAATAGAGCATTATATTAATTTATAAAAATAAAGAAAACAATTAATATATATATATATATATATATATATATATATATATATATATATATATATATATATATATATATATATATATATATATATATATATATATGGGTTTTTTATATATAAGTTATTAGATGTTATTAACAAAATTAATAACATCTAATAACTTATTACAGTTTTAAACTTTAAAAATTATTAGTAAATATTTAAATTGAATTTCTCATTTGAATTATTTTCGGCGAATTTCGCAATTAGAAATTTGCTCAAAATATACAGTATATAATGAATTAATGAAAATGCACGTGCCAAATAACATAAAAATATAACTAAGAAATATTTTTATATCTATTGGAGGAAACCGATTAGAAAATACATTGAGATACATCGAGAAACCCCTCTTTGCTTACAGCACATACATCATATATATACCAGTTTAAACTAGTGTATACCTTTTTTTTTTTAGTTAAAAAACAATTTAAAAGCGATCAAGTAGCGAAGGCAAACAAAGGTATGTATATATTAGATAAAGCATCAAAACCACATGCATAGACCATGATCACATGATCATCTTTTCAATAATTTTTTCTCTCTTAGTTTTACCTCTATCTCACGATACACCAAACGCAAAACTTGATACAGGTATACAAACGCATGCACTCACTTCGCCTTGTCATTTGGAATGCAGATCAAAATTTTTGTCACATTCAGTTAAATGTCGTAAATGCAAAGCTCACGTTGAATCCAAATCAAAGCTAGGTGCTTAGCCAATGTTAAAACAATTTTTTTTAATTGAAAGAAAATATATTTGTAATTTGACCTCACACGTTTTATAAAAAAATAAATTTATATTGATTTTGAAAAAGTTTTTCTGTTAAAAACAATACCCCAATATCCATACACATATTGATTGAATACTCATTACACTCAAGGAAACGCTTAAAGAAGATAAATGAACTTATATAGAAATAATCAAAGTATACCATGGTAATAATTATTCAATTCACTCAATGAAATTACAAGAAAAAATATATATATTTCAGGAGCAGCCATCCATCAAAACACAGGGCCACGCAACAGAAAAAACCTTTCTACTGTGAAGCAAGGTAATTTAATCAAAAACAGTATAAAAGAACACTATATTCTTAAAAATTTTTCAAAATAGAGGATAACAAAGTAAGTTTTTGAAACTCTTTTGAAAGTTTTTATGCATTATATATATATATATATATATATATATATATATATATATATATATATATATATATATATATATATATATATATATATATATATATATATATATATATATATATATATATATTCACTTTGTCCTCCAAAACTTTTGCAACCAAATGGAAAAAAATATTTTTTCGAAAAAAAAAATCTTTATATAAAAGATTTATACATAATAAGACTACTTAAAAATGTACAGATGTATTTTTTGCTTCTATTGATATTTTAATGTAAAACTGTGATCGTCAAAAACATTAGCAACTTTTTTTTAACCTCTCAAAAAAATCTTTAAATCAATAGTCAATTGCATATTCTTTACTTTTTAGGATCATGGAACATCTTCTTGGAATAGACTTAATGAGTTTAGTAATTTTTTCTGGTTGTAATTCTTTGTGTTTTAGGGAAATTTCAACTTGGTATCATAAATTTTCAATTAGATTGAAATTAGGTGATTGAGCTGGTCACTTCATTATACAATTTGATTTTTTTTAGATAACAGTTTAATGAGTTTTGAAGTGTGTTTTGGATTGTTGTCTATTTGAAATATTCCTTAAAAAGGCATGTTATTATCAGCATAAGGAACCACTTTTTAAAGAGAATATCACAATAAACAAACTGATCCATAATGCCATTTATTTGATTGATAGGTCTAACTCTGCTAAAACCTAAAAAATAACACCAAACTATTTTACTTTTTCTAAAACCATGTTTAACTGTTCCTCTTGACTATTTAAGATTTAAACGTTTACTTTTAGATCTATGTGCCTTCAAATTACCATTAAAACCTTTTAAAATGAACTTTGATTCATTGCTCCACAATACTCTTTTCCAATCATTAATAGCCCAGTCTCTATGACCATTTAGAAATTCAATTCTAGTCTTTCGGTTCTTTGGAAAGATTTTTTTGAAAGGTTTTTTGCTGCTTCGGAAAGAAAAATTACTCGTCACGCGAAAAAGAATCATTTTGATAGTGCTTATGATATTGTTCAAAAACTGAAACTTTCAGTGTCTCAAAATACGATTTGCAAACGGTTACAACTTTCAGGGTTTTTGAACATTATGAAACGACATGTTATGCTTTGTCTCCCGCTTTGTTCCATGTTTCATTTCGAAAGGATTGCCTTTATCAAATCGTTTGATTATTCCACATACAATTAATTTAATATTGTTACGATTGCAATATTACAGTTCCCTCTCTGAAAAAATATTAATGATTTGTTAACTCTTATTGGTTAAGTATTAATTAATACAACATTAAAATTATCATTATTTTTGCACGAAGAAATTCCTTTGCAAATGATTTTGAGGGTTGTGTATTGTTTTTTAGAAGACCACATTTTTACATTAAAATACTAATAGAAGCAAAAAAAAAATACATTTATTCATTTTCAAGTAGTCTAATAAGTCTAAATTTTATTTTTATTATATGTAATATTAAACATTTTTTTTCATTTAAAGAGTCTTTTTTTTAGAAAAGTTGCTGTATTCACTAATTGAAGCTGAAAAACTATTTTTTTCATTTGGTTGCTAATGTTTTGGAAGATTATATATATATATATATAATATATATATATATATATATATATATATATATATATATATATATATATATATATATATATATATATATATATGTATATATATATATATATACATATATATATATATAAATATATATATATATATATATATATATATATATATATATATATATATATATATATATATATATATATGTATATATATATACATATATATATATATATATATATATATATATATATATATATATATATATATATATATATATATATATATATATATATATATATATATATATATATATATATGTATACATATATATGTATCACACCCACGCTGAACCAGATTTTAGTTTGATGAAATGACATAGGGTTGTGTCATACCTTTTTGAAATTGTTAGAACCATACCATTAAAGGAAAGTTAGTGAAAAAAATCATAAAACTAAACTTTAAAAAATATTTGGGTTTATACAGGGGTCATATAGGGTCCTGGACTTAGGCGCCCCTCTAACTGAAATCAAGACCCACCACAGGGGTGCATGCAATTGTTGTACATTTTGTCAGAAAATATGACTAGTCGTTATATGTCCCTCTCAGATGGGTCTTAAAAACAGTCTGAGGGGCGCCAATGCCGAGTACTTTTTTCTTCTTAAAATTAAAAGGGAAAAAAAAAAACATTATTTTTAGAAAATATTTATTAAACATTATTTAAATGTTTTCCATTGAAACTAACTACTGCTTTTTTCAAATACTTTGCATACTTTTGATGGTTATCAGACACTTTGAAACGTTCCCATGCTTCCTTTAGAAATGAGTAGTGAAGAGCTTCCCCTGCTTGTTCACTAAAAAAATCCAATCCAATTTCCTTATCTTTACAAAAAGGACCTACATGTTGAAATATGATGTGTAACTTCACAGTAACTGTCATTTCATAATCTTCCACTAAGGTTGAATAATGATTCTTAAATAACCTGATGTCTTTTTCAAATGTTGGCCTTAAATTTACACCAAAACAAGAGTGAACAAGGTTATCCAGAAGCCTAAACGCTTCAGCCAATGGTTTTAATAGGACTGGAAACAAGTTATAGTACTTCACCCAATTTTTTAATATTTTTCGACAACCATTACCATTATATGACCCATTTCTTATTGATTTAGAAATATTTAAGTCATTTTCGATCTTTTTTAATAGTACTGGATCAGCTAATTTGTTTATTGTTTTAAAGATATGGTTTGTTGCCCCTTCCATCAAATGAAGTTCTAAAGGAGAAAGATGATTAACAACTAGATCATTATCATCACCAATTAAAAGAACTTCATCAATACAGTTAAAATATTCTTTTGCTCTAATTTTCTTTGATCCTCTCAATTTATACAATTTACTGCTTAATCTTAGTGACCCAAGTGTTCGTAGCTCAGTGCAATCATTTTTAAAAACCTCTGTTCTGTTCCATGTACAAATATAACACGGATGAGTTGCCATGGAACTTGGAGACATACCACACATGACTTGACAGAGTTTGATATCTGCCACACAAGTAAAGTTTATTTTATCCAAACAGAGTTTGTTAAGCAGAATTTTAACATTATGGTTTGTCTCTGGTACATCTGGTACCAGTGCTATAATAAATGATGCTTTCACAGATTCTTCCTTGAAACTTGGTGATTTAATTTCTCCATATTTTCTCCTTTTGTTTTTAATTGTTTCACTAGGATTTGATACAACATTTAAGCAAACCTGAATATTTTATAATAAATTACAATTATTATTATTTTTAATTAGAAAAAAAAGTGGCACATTACAAAATCAAATTACCTTAAGAAATCCCCGACCTACGTCAATGGAAGTTTTTATATACTGGTTTTGAGGATAGGCTCCTTTTTTATCTATTACTTGCCACAGAAACTCATTGACATCTGTTGTTCTGATAAATGGGATCAGTTTAAACAAACTTTTTTCCTCAACAGATTTAATATTAAAAAGTTCAAAATCCTCAACAAAGCAATCATCAAGTTGCTGGTCAATACGTTTGAGCTCTGCTGCTAACCCTGATTGTACAATTTTTCTGTTTTGTGCTTTGAATCGTAGTTCTTTTGCTAGCTTTAAAATTTTTGTGTTACTTAATTCTAAAGTTGATTGTATGTCAATCATACTTTTTATAGACAGTTGTTGTATATTACTAGTATCATGGTTTCTCTTAAGTGTAAAACTTACTTTTTTACCACCAATAGCAAGTATCGCTTTACCCTTTTTGTCTATTTTGTCTTTTATTAAAGAATTAGCTATTTGCTCAATTGTCTTGACATTATTTGCAAGCTTTTGCATTACATTACATTTAAGTACAGCTAAAGAACATTTGTGGGTAATTCCTTTGCTAATAATTGAAAAGCAAGTTTGACAAGTTAGACTATTAACTGGAGGTTGCGCGTTACATTTACGTCCCTTTTTGAATTTTTTAGGTCTCCCTTGAGTAGATCCAATTATACATATTTTGCATTTACATACAAAAACACTTCTAGTTTGAACTGGTATTTTCATTTTATTCCACTTTACGTGTAAAGCTCTTTTCCTCTTCTTATACTGCTTTTGCAAGATTCGCAAATAGCTTTAGGATAGAATGAATTTTTAATGTTGTATCTAAAATTCACTAAATTTTTAATCCACGTTACATTAATATCGTGAGGTTTATTTGTTTTTTTGGCACAATATAAACACACTTTTCTCCTGTTTTCCTCATGAGTACAGGTCGGTTTAAATAAACTCATTCTATCTAGAAAAATGAAACAATTTAAGAACACAGAGAAAACACACTTTTTATTATACCTAAAATATAAAGATTTATATACCATATAATAATTCTTTAAAAAATGTTTCAAACACACTATACAAATATAACATAATATAATACAAATATAAATGCTGACTATTACAGTATATAGGTTCCTTATTAAATACCATTTAACATTACTTACAAGTGTTGTTTATTATACTTCAATTTTTAAAGTTAAAACAAAATGAAAATATGCAGAATTAAGAAGTTTGGTTATGCATGTGCTAATGATGAGTTGCGGTCTGTTTTGTATTGTTCAGTATAAAACTATTGTTCAGTATAAAACTACTGTACAATATTTGTATGCTTTTTTATTTTATTTTTTCAATGAAAACATATTTGACTAGATTGATAAAGTGATTTTTGATATTTTGTTTAAAGTAAAATATATTATTCGTTCTTTATAAACTTATTTATAAAGTTTAATAATGATTATATACACACGGCTTAAAATAGGTGATGAACTTTGGTGCCCTCGGGTTGTTTTTTAGACCATCTAGAAGAGGCAACTAATAACTAGTTATATTATTTAACAAAATATAAAACAGTTGTTTTCCCCCCTCGGGTTGGTCTCACGATTGACCAGAGGGGCGCCAAAGTTCGGGAACCGTTTTGACCCCTGTATAAACCCAAATATTTTTTAAAGATTAGTTTTATGATTTTTTTCACTAACTTTCCCTTAATGGTATGGTTCTAACAATTTCAAAAAGGTATGACACAACCCTATGTCATTTCATCAAACTAAAATCTGGTTCAGCGTGGGTGTGGTATGTATGTATGTATGTATGTATGTATAATGTAAGTTAAATCGAATTGCATAAAGTTTATTTATTACCTTAAAAAACATATTTTAAGCACCCACTGAAGTAACCCACAATGTTCCCGCTTCAACCAACTATGATTCAAATTCAGGAAACCAAATTCAGCAACAATCTGCTCAGCTGTCACCTTTACCAGTACAAAACTATCAGTATCAACACCCAGCACAACTTCAAATGCAGCAAACAAACAACCAAGTTGTTTCAGCAGGAATACCTCCAATGGGACCCAGCGTAGCTTGCAATCCTGTACCTACTACTTGCACTGGAAATGACTGCATGTCGTCAAACCCGTGTGCTGATGTATTTTCTCGTTTGGGTCCGTCAACATCTTGCCCTCCAACATGTGGGCTAGACTGTTTTGGATATTGTCCTACGGCTTGTTGTCGTCATAAGAAAAAGACCAATATCCCGAAAATTGTTGAAAACAAAACAAAAGAGTAACGCAATACTTTTGGTAGTAAAGAAACAATATAAAAATGAAAACAAAAACAAAAATAACTGATTTTATTATTTTATCAATATTTTTTATATTATTTTATAAACTAAGTATTATCTAAAAATGTATTTATATGATTGGGTAAAAACTTTTCTAATAAAAATTGTAACAATCCTGTGAAAAGAAAAACTATATTTAAAAGTAACGCGAAATTCAATTAAACAATTTATAAAAAGTAATAATGCAAAATATAATGGCGCATTTACAACTTTGCTCGCAGAGTCACTTATATAGTAACTTTTAGACAACCTATAAATAAAGTAAAACATCTGATTGAATAAGAATAGGCCATACAAAATATCTTTATTACTTTAATGGCGTCTCTTAAAGTTCGAAACGCCTTTATCTGCATCTTCATTACAATTATTTACCTAAACTTTTAGTTTTTTACGATTTTCATTTTTAGGTTCGCTGTTTAGCTACTGCATTATAAGGAAGGGGCGTTAGTGTAATTCCAATATCACCATCTAGTTTTGGGGTTTCTCCGCTTTGAGGCAACTCAAAGGAGAAATCTTTTATCAGTCGAGAGCATATAATAAACATTTGCATTCTTGCAAATGACTCACCAATGCAACCTCTTGGGCCGGCTGAAAAAGGGAAATATCCTAAACGCTTTGCTGTTGAAAGTTCGCCATTTTTATCAAGCCAACGCATAGGATTGAATTCAAACGGTTTTTCCCAGTATTTTTCATTATGATGTACGCCCCATAAATTTGTTATTATTATTGTATCTTTAGGGATTGTGAATTTATTAATTTTCGCGTTATTTACGGCTTTGTGAGATAAGCTTAAAGGAACGACAGAAGACAACCTTAAAGTTTCAAGTATAGTTGCTTGCATTATAGGCATTGATTTAATATCATTAAACGTAGGGTACTGATCACCACAAACATTTTTGATTTCTTTGTAAAGAATGCTTTGATAGTGAGGCCAATGTAAAAGATAAAAGATTAGCCAAGTTATCGTTGCGGCTGTTGTTTCGGAACCAGCCATAACTAACTCAACTAAAATCATTCTGTATTGTTCCTCATTAGGGTTTTCTTGTTTTTGTTGGTCCCAAAGGTTCAAAAGAATATCTGAGATATTTTCGTTTTTTAAACTTTTTTTTCGTTTATGCAACTGGGTTTGAATCCAAAATTTGCAAATGTTTCTAGATTCGCTGATTTCGTTTTGCTTTTTTAATAAAAAAAATCTCATCCATGGTAAATAATGCATAATTTCAATGTTTGACAAGTTTTTTAGAAGTAACCTGGTCGCTTTTAAAATTTCATGAACTTCACAAGTATCACTAAGCCGGTTACCAAAAATAATACTGCATATGCTGTTAACAATACAAAGATCTAAATAAAACAACAAATTTATTTTAAATTCTAAACAAGTTTTAAAGGCAAAAAAGATATTAGAGTATCTAAATGTAACGACAAGAAAACAACGTCATCAAAAAAATTAGCATCCTGGAGTCGTATTCTCATCTTTCCGTTAAACTTAATGCAGCATTAGACAAAAAATTTTTTTTTAACTTTATCAATAAATCTTTTATATCAATAAATATAACTTCTATATCAATAAATATAACTTTTATAAGTAAATGTTTTATCCAGGACCGTTCCGAAGAGGTCTTCCATTGTGTGCGTGTGTGTGTGTGTGTGTGTGTGTGTGTGTGTGTGTGTGTGTGTGTGTGTGTGTGTGTGTGTGTGAGGGGGGTCGTATGTATTTTTGCCAACTAGAGACACGAAAAAAAAAAAGAGGTCCAACTTGTTCAAACCTTGCTCAATGCGTAAACTCAAATGCTTAAATGACAGCTTTAGGGGAGGGGAGACGCCCCTTATACCCACGTTCGGGACGGCTCTGGTTTTATCTTAGATTAAATTTTATTTAAATGTATTTAAATAAATTTTTTAATATTTCTTTATTTTAAAAAACCGTAAAGAAATTTCAAAATAAACCTCCGTTAAGCTTAACCGGGAGAGTTGAATACGGCCCTTGTACGGAATAAGTACGGGTATTAAAATGAAACGTTTAGTTTAATTAAAAAAGCTTTTGACAAACGCTTTGTTAAGCTATGGATGTATAAAACAGATGGAAGTTCAACCGCATGGAAATGCTTCTGGAACCGCATTGAAATGCTTGCAACCTTTTGCATCGTAAACAAAAAAAAAAGACATCAAGACTGTACTTAAACCCTTAATCTTTATACATTGACGCAAATAGGTAATTTCATAAAAGGTTCATAATAATTTAAAAAGAGCATTTTGACGGTTGAGTGTAAACATTAAAAATGGCGATAACGAAACGCCAAATAACAACCAAGTTTTAATAAACATTTTGTTGAATAATTACAACAACTAATGGTTAAAACTTAGCAGCGTACCTTTAAATAAATTTTTCTAATGTTTTAATAAAAATCTTTTTTTGTCGTTTTTAGTCCAGTGAAACTCGTTTTTTTTTATTGTCGGTTACAAGCATACTTCCGAGACGACTTGAAATTGCTTTGCTGTTTGCGGCTTGCTGAATTTCCATCTTTTTTATACTTCCATGGTTAAGCTTAACGGAGAAACATAAATACAACTGCGGGTCACCAAAAAAATTACATTAGAATAATTTTTACTAACAAATTATTTACCAACACACACGCTCACACAAATTAGACGCATTCTAAAATTTTATTTGTTTTTTCAAAAGCAGTTATATATATATATATATATATATATATATATATATATATATATATATATATATATATATATATATATATATATATATACATATATATATATATATATATATATATATATATATATATATATATATATATATATATATATATATATATATATATATATATATATATATATATATATATATATATATATATCAGGGCTGTGGAGTCGGAGTCGAGTTTCGGAGTTACGACATTTTCAGCGGAGTCGAAGTCGGAGTCGCTAAACAAAATCGCGACTCCGACTCCAATAGTAAAACTTCTCAGTATTGCACGTGCATGTACAAAACATTCAAATAACCTTATGTTCATACTAAACTTCAAAGAACGTTTCATAAATTTGTAAAAAAAAATTTTAACTTATTGTGTAACATTTTTTAAAGAATTCAAAGAGTTTTTCAAAAATTTTGCTTTGGAGTTGGAGTCGAAGTCGGAGTTGAAGTCGGAGTCGGAGTTGTACTCAAAATATTTCAACTACTGGAGTCGGAGTCGGAGTCGTTACCTTTTTTTACGACTTTACATCCCCAATATATTTATATCTATATATATCTGTACCTTTTTTTTTTTTTTTTTTTTACAACTTTAATAAATTTACACACCGTTACGTTATAACTACATGACATAATATAATCCAACGTAAAAATATAAGATAATAATACCAAGTATAATATAGCATAATAAAAATTGGTTTAACAAGTATAACTAAGTATAGCGTAAATTAATAGTGTTTCTTGTCATAAAAACTGCCAGTATTTAAAAAAAATAAAAGAATAAAAATAGGAAAAGAAAAAAAAAGACAAGAAATTTTTTGGTGTTTCAGATATATACATGTTGTTGTAAAGGGAAAACTCGTAAAACTCTATGAAGACTTATCATCGAGTACCTCATTGAATGGTTAAATAAAGTCTATTTTATTTTTATATATAGTAAAAAGTGGTTAAACAATATACAGTCAGTGATACACATAAATATTTTACATTAAATTTTAATGTTAAGTTTAATACAAGTCGATATAATTGTTGGTATTTAGTATTACATGTTTTAATTTATTTTTCAAGTTAGCAGCATTATTTAATACTTTAAATTCTATATTTTTGGATGTGATTTTGTAATATAGGTACGGACCCCGGTAGGAAATAGAAAACCGCGAAAAATATTGTTGTCCTTTTGGGCAGTGTGAAGTTGCCTGTTGCTCTTGTCATATACCTATTAGAGTTTACTTGAAAGAAGTTATCTAAAAAATGTGATGGGACTATATATATATATATATATATATATATATATATATATATATATATATATATATATATATATATATATATATATATATATATATATATATATATATATATATATATATATATATATATATATGTATATTAGGGATATGACTTTTTTAACTTTTTATACAATTTGGACAACCCCATATTATTTTTGGATGAGTTTTTGCTATAAAACAATGAAGAAATGTTTATTTTCCTTCAAGTGTAAAAAAATGTCACTCCCTCGGCTGAAATGTTTTTTAATACAATATAGATAGGAATATAATATACTATACATATTACATATGGGCCAGAAAACATAAGTTAAAGAAGTCATAACCCTCTATATATATTTTATTATATTATATTATTATATTATATATAATAAAATATATATAGACGGTTAATATATATTATATATATAATTTTAAATACATACCAGACGTATGCATTACCACTTTATAATTTCTAGTTTTTCACTGCCGTGCCTAATTGTTTATTAATTAGTTTCAGATTTTTTTGTGCTGCTTTTAATTAAAATGGCATACAAATACTGCCAATCAAGTGTTGAAAAAAATAAAGAGACTTATAAAAAAAATCTTGTGAAATTTCAAGATTCGCATAAAAGTAGACAGTTTCCAATGTTAGAAACATCTTTTCAAGAATATTCCAAAATGCCATTAAAAAGTGATATTGTTAGCAGGTTTAAGTATTTGTCTAGTACTGATGTGAAAGCCAAAAAGCAAAGGATAGATCTTATTTCAGAAGAAGTTATAAGTTTGTGGAAAGAACAATTAAATTTCCCATGTCTGACAGAGAAGTCAGTGAAGCGAAAGATTAATGATGTTATAGAAAAATATGAAAGTCTCAGAAAAAAAGGGAATGCCGACCTTCTGCAAAAAGAGATTTTTGATATAACAAATCAAAATGGCATTTGGTTATCATCTGAAGATAAAAGATTTTATGAAATTCAGTTACAAAGCAAAGGAGAAATTGGATATGCTACTTCAAAGCTGGCAGGAAAGAAGACTATTCATCCATCAATTGTGCAAAAACTTTCCAGTCAACCTTCAGCATCTAAAAGTTTTTCTTCATTTACTGAAAGTAGTAAAATAGAAAGAGACAACTCTAGTTCCGAATTTGAAGAAACTGATGAACAATTTGAGATAGATAATGAAATTACAGATGAAGAATATAATAATTTGAAGAAAAGACGTAAAAAATATAGTAGTTGTAAAATAGCAACAAAGTTAGTGGTTGTGCTAAGGTATCAACTAAGAAAGCTTCTATAAAAGGTAAAATACAGTCCTCAGAAGGCATACATGTTCCAGCGCCATCACATTCTGGAATATACAAGGCTCTTTTTAATGAAGCAAAACAATTTAAAGAAACTTTAATTCAAGATTTAAAGAATGAGAATTGGAGTCTACACTTCGATGGAAAGCATATAGACCAATGGGAGTGTCAGGTTGTTTGGGCGCACTGAAGTTAATAGATGGAAAATCTATCACTATTATTAATGCCATAGCTGATATTATAGATGAATTTAAACTAATGAATTCAATTAAAATGATTGTGACAGATACTACAAATGTCAATACCGGAAAGAAAAATGGTGTTGTTGTAAAACTTCAGGACATTTTTCAAAAAAAAAGAATTACAAAAACCTCAATTTGTACCATGTCAACATCATATCTTGTATAGAATACTTAGACTAGAAATGGAAGAAAAATTGGGAGAAAATCCGAACTCACCAAACATTAATTACTTTTTTACTAACGAGTTGTTAGAACATTATGAAACACTGAAGACAAATTTTTATAATGGTACAGAAGAAATAAAAGACACAGGAGAATGGCGAGATGACATGAAGTTTCTGTTTCATCTGACGAGAACCTACCGATACTATGACCAAAATAAAATATTTCCTAATGTAAGATTTCAAAAAATCCCTAATATCAGTAATGCTCGGTGGAGTTCAAGAGCTATTTTAGCGTTGTTAGCCTACATTCTTATGCCAAAAACAAGAAACAAACTTGAATCTGTATGTACCTTTATTTCTTACAAGTGGGCAGACTTTTGGTTTGACGACCAAACCTATAAAGAAAACACTTATTCAGACCTTCATGAAGTTTTATTAAACAAAAAGAAACCTCTTGCTACATTTACAAGTCATTGGAATCCAGATCCATCAGCAATCAACATTCCCAGAAGTAATCAATGTGCTGAAAGAGCAATTAAAGTAATGGAGGAGCTTTATAGATTGTGCAGAAATAAAGACAATTTCACTTCGTTTCATTTTGTCTAATAAACAATAACGGTATGTATTTAAATTGTATAAAATGTTTTTTCCTGCATTGAATATAACACTATGCCATGTATTAATTGTTAGAATAAATTATGTTTTTTTATAGAATCATATGAATGAACATGTTTGCAAATAGAAATGATTTTGGTCATTAATTTTTTTAAAACCTTTTTAAATCTTAATGTGCTTTGGGGCGTGACATTTTTTTTGAACATCGTGAAAGTATTAATATTTTTGCATTTTATGCGTAAAAACTCATCCATTTTTGGGCCAGGGAAATTTTTTTTAAAAAGTCATATCCCTAATATATATATATATATATATATATATATATATATATATATATATATATATATATATATATATATATATATATATATATATATACATATATATATACTATGTTCATCGCCATGAAAAGTCATCTGCTCATCGTCGGTTGATGGTTTGGTTGAAGGTAAAGCAACAGTTTTAGAGTAGCAGTAGTTTTTCGTGGTTGTTTTGCAATTAGTTTCATAGATAAACGTCTAGTGTCCGAAAGCTTGAAAAGATTTTCAGCTGCAGTCTCGCTAGATCTTCCATCTAGCGACACTACAGCTGAAAATTTTAAAATCTTAGATTTTATCTATTTATTCATTACAACAACCAATGAAACTTATACATAAAAAGTTTAATATTGATGTAGAAAAGCAACACAAGGTTTTCATATGCTGATGGTTGACATAGCTACAGCCGAAATAGCATCATACTTTTAAAAGAGTTTACTGTATGTACATCAATTTCATCATGCGCCAATTTATTTCAATGGTTTGCAACATGGTTTTTAAAAAAGTGCTGAAGTCTTCGATATGATTTGGTTAGTTGGGGTTTAGACGGATCATTTTTAATTAATTATATGCTGAGTTTAATGAGAAAACGTAAACACACAAACGTTTTTTAACTTGGTTTTAAACAAACTTTTAATTTCTTTAACAGCAATTTCTTTAATAGCGATTTCTTTAACAGCGGTTCTTAACATGGATTCATTAACAGCGATTCTTTGTGACCTGATGGTTATGTTATAGTTTTAAATAATTTATTTCTTAAATAATCTATCAAAGAAATATATCATTTAAAACTATAATTCTTGGTTAATATAAACAAAGCAAGTTAATTATTATTTTTTTATTCTATTTTTTTTTATTTTATTATAGATGCTCTTACGGTCTTATCACAGAGCATCGCGGATGAGCATTCAATCGGAAGCTCATACCTCCTTCCTAACCGATGTCAAATTATTATACACATCGCCAAGTAAACTTATTTTATGGCTCATCAATAAAAACTAATTTTTTACTTTTTTGTAATTAAAATCTCATTATGATTTTTTTTTCTTTCACCTTCTGGCGCCCCTAATACTTTGGCGACCGAGGTTCGCATGCCCCTTTTGCTCTTCCCTTTCGATGGCCCTCTACATATTTTTTTCTTAATTAATTAAAATACTTTTAAAATTGGACACGAATTTAACTAAATAAATTTAAGAAAAGTTAAAAAAGAGTTTTTTCGAGTTTTTGTAGTTTTTACTATAAATTAATATATACTTATTATTACATATAAATAAACTTTTATAAGTTTTTATAAGTTTATATATTTTTATAAGTTCTTACAAGTTTATATATTTTTATAAGTTTCTTTGTACACTTGATGTACAGCTTAAACTAAAGAAGCTATGTGATTTTAAATACTATAAAAACATTATTTTAATGAAAATATGGTATATGCAAAATATCTTTTATAATATGTCAAAGCGGTTGACTGGGAGTGCAAGATATTGTTTCCCACCATCAGAAGAGCGATGTATCATCATATTTGATTCACATTTTAATATATCTAATTTTTATGCAAACTAATAACTTTTTATTGATTTAAGATAGATTTTTATTTACAATATCTATTAAAAAAAAAATTCGTTTAATACTTTAATACACTTTTTTTGAAACAGTATTTGTGATTGAGGTAGATCGGGTGGTATCGGACACTTTTTGGAGGGTGGTTCCGGACAACTTAATCCATTTACACAATAAAAATGAGCAATTTTTTATATAAACAATAATAAGTTTAACATAATACAAACACACATAATAATAATTCATTTAAACTTCAATAAAAAAACCAAAGATTTTAAAAAGTATTTTTAAAGTGTTTATTTTTATTAGTAAAAGCTAATGTTTATATTTTTAAATGACATTTTTATTCCCATTCCTTATATATCCGAGGCGATTTTTAAAAACGATTTTTTTCTTTAAACGTGTTGATAACATTCTAATGCTAATTAATTATATATTATATTTTTGTAACAAAGATAAAAATGGTAAAAAAGAGGTAAAATCATGGTTAAACTATATGTTTAACAATGGTTTTAGACCAGGTTTTAGGGGTTAACCTCCAATTTTGAAACACGCTTTTTTCTAACATTTTTTTTTCTTAGGTATTATATATTATTAAAGTATGCAATAATTCTTTTGTTGTTTCTAAATTAATAAATAATTGCTTATTCTTTTAATAAATTCTTTTGACACTTTGTTTTCTGTTAGTCCATGCGTACCATCTATTTTTTCCTAAAGTGTCCGGAGCTACCTGACTTTTTCCGATAGATAATGACTATTTGCAAAAAAAAAAAAAAAAAAAAAAATGAAAATATAAAAAAATGAAAATGCGTCAACATTAGATGATGGTAAGTAAAGTTAAAATGGTTTAAAAAAAATTCATTTTAAGAATTAAATTAAAAAAGAGCTTGGCCGATTTTCAAAATAAAATCCTAATACAAAATAAAATACAATCGTAAATTATGTCACTTACCGATTTCATAACGAAGATTGGTGACGCTTCCTTCGTTTTGCAGTAGTCTTTGATGTAAAAGTTCACTTTCATGTTTGACAATATTTTCATTGTGTGCTAAAATACTTCCGTTTGTTTTAAGTTTTGAATAAAAAACTTTTCTGATTTTTTTAGTCAACGGGTTGTTATCCATATGGGAAAGGTTTTCAAAACCTCCAGTAAAAAGTAAAGATGAATACTCCCTGGGTCTTCCGGAAAAATTTGATCCATCTCCAACTAAAACATCGTAAATACTCTCGTGGCTGCTTACAACAACCACCCGAACGGTTCCTAAACTTAAACTGAAAACATCTCCGTAAATAATTTCTAGATCGCACAATGCCTTCACAGGATCATTTGCTAACAAGTTGTAGTTTCCAATTACCGGAAGAGGAAATGGACCTGGTGGGTATCTTTGACATTCCCAAATATGATAAATATAAACAACTATTACGTAAAGTAAAACGGGAATTATCAGCCCAAATACAACTTCAAAAACTACAAAAAGAAACATTTAATATTAAAACTTTGTCGTCTTTTAAGTTTAAAATTTAACCAACACGATTCATTAATAAATTTTCATCAAACAATTAATATGACGTCTGTTAGTCAAATATATTTGCTTTGTTGTTTGTTTAAACATGTTTTGTTTTGTTTCCGGTCACTTAAATATAATTCAGAAAGTTATTAATGATAGCTTTGTGAATTATATTTATGTGATATAAAGTTGCAATTTTACGACATTTTAAAATATGCAAATTAATTAAACAGACTGTCACTTTATTGAACAATTTTGTGATAATTGTATGTATAATATGAGGAACATTTTGATTTCTTTTGTTTTATACATTTTTCTGAGTGTCCAAGTCAGTTTGATGCTTTTCCCTCTGATGTTGACAAGTAACAGTTTCTTCAATAGTCAAAAACAAAGAAAAATAAAAGCATTTATTTTCAAACAAAGAAATTAAAAGAAAAGAAGTTAACCCAAGTCATACTTCAGCTTAAAAGTTAAAAAGTTTCTAAAAAAATCATTAACTATTTATGATTTTTTAATTGTAAATTAAGAATATTGAAAAAAAAATTAAATCTTATTTCTATATCGTCTAATTTGTAGTATAATATTAAATGTTACCACAAATCAGACATTAGTTGTAAAACCAAAAAATATTCATCTGAAACTTATTTTACTACGACTACCTTATTTTACTACGATTATGTTGACGAGCTAAAATATTGCGTAACTATATTTTTGTCCAATGAAGTAATAGGGGATTTAAATAAAATAAATATGCAAGTTATTAAGTATTAGTTAAATTTGTTTGTAATCGTTTTATACGATTATCATATCGTAGATAAGATAAATCCAAAAAATATTTTCAAACAAACAAAAAATATCTTCCTTTAAACCAAAGTAAATACACACCGAGAAATAATGCTATATTATAAGTCAAAATCTTTTTTTTCAGTAAATATTTTATTATTGATAACTTTATTTAAATAGTAACTTTGTATAAATTTACATATTTTTAATACAATAGTATTATTAAGCAAAATTTTTCAATTCACATGTATAATTTTAAAAACATATACTAACTTTAAAAATATAAAACTAACGAACTTTATTTGTATGAATGCTACTTTTGGAGGTCAACCATCCTTTGGCAGTAGCTTAGCTTTTTTTGTCGGGAGAAGCGTAAACGCACCAACGTTTGGTAATTCGGCTCCACACAAAGCGTCACCATTGCATGGTTCTTTAGTTTCTTCTGCGCATTCTTTTAGTCTGGAAGTGTATTTAAAATTATCCTAGTAATAACTTAATCTTTTTATATAAGAGAAATAAGATTTCAGTGATTATATTTGACAAATAAGATTCAGTGGGCGCAACGCATGATATTTATTTTGAAAATAACGGACATTATTTTTTGCTTAATTCAGCGGTTTAAAAGCATCATTAGTTAGATTGATGCAAGGCGTGAACATCATGCTCATTGAACTTCATGTACTTTGATCTTTCTTAAGTATCCGCGTTCTTAATTTTAGTCTTTATATTTTAATGATATCTTCACTTGTAATTTTTTTAATATATATTTTATCTGTCAAGACCAACGACACGGGTTTTGATGTCGGGGGAGGGGGCACAATAAACAATTTCAAAATAAAAGTCACTATATCTCTTCATATCTATAAATTTCTATACTACTATACTACTATCACTATATCTATAAATTTCTGAAAATAATAATAATAAAAAAATAAAGTTTGTCAAAAATCTATCAAACAATAGTCAAATTTTAAAAGATATCAAACAATCTGAATTTTTATAAATTGAAATAGGTACAAATTGCTTCAGAATGTTTTCTGTAATTATTGACTAATGTTCAGGGGCCGTATTCTCATCTCTCCGTTAAGTTTAACGGAGCGTTAGTAAAAAATTTCTTTTTAACTACATTAATAAAAAAGTTCTTTAAAAGTATAAATTTTTTATAATAAATGTTTTGTTTTAGTATTAGTTTTAAAAATTTAAAAAAGGTTTTCGTCATTTCTTTACTTAAATATATTGTAATGAAATTTCAGACACAAGCTCAGTTAAGCTTAACGGAGAGATAAGAATACGGCAGAATGGTGAAGTAGCTCATGCGCTGATTTTATAAATAAACTCTCTTTAACTCAATAACCAGTCTGACCATAGAAAAATTAGGGATCACGGACATCTAAAGTGGCAGAAAAATTTCTCATTAAATGCTCACGGTGTTTAGATTATAAGACCATTAGTTTTATAATCTAAACACCGTACTTCAAGTAAACACCGTAGTCCTTGAAGTTCTTGTAAATATATGCACAAAACGTTTAAAATTATTTTTTGTTTCCTGTAACTAAATGTTACAAATCATTTAGTCTCCTAAAGTTTTTTTTCTGATATTTATATCTTTTTCAAAGATCTTGTAAGAAACAAATATTATAAATCAAAAAGTATTTCTATTTTTATTCAACAATTTTAAGTTCAACAATAAATTTTCAATCTTCAAGTTATGAGTTTTGGAAAAGAAAGTTTTATAACTAAAAAAATTAGGAAAAAAAAGTTCTAGGTGTTTAAAGATTTTGAAGAAGAAAATATTTATGATATGCCTAAAATATTTATGATAACAGTTTTGACCTTGAGGTAGACCTTTTCCCATTTTTATTTTAGAAAAGTGCTAGGTTATTTGTTAACTATGTTAAGTTACTAGCTAACCATAAATAAACATTTTCAATAAGGTCACGATTAAGCGTGTACACTTTAGTACAACTATAGTGCAACCGTTGCGTTTCAATCATGATTACACAATATAGTTTTGTAAGTAATCATGATTGAAACTACAGACTTGAACTGACAATATATTTAACCTAAATCTTGATACTCAAAGCCTTCAACAGTATTTTTTACCACCCAACCGTGCAACAACCACCATTTTTTGTCTTTAAAACTTTAAAGTTCAACTCGTCACTAAAATTAAATACACTCCACGCCTTTTTGTTTAAATTTTATATCTATAGTGTATAACAGTTGCAGGGCTATAAAATGGGAATTTGTTCTCTACAGCTTTGAAACCTTGTGTATCTTGTTGTAAGATACTGTGAAAATATCTAACAATGGTATTAATGAATAATTTTTTGGGCAATCGAGTTTAAGAATTAAAAAATATACCTAAAATAATAAAGAATAAAAAATAAAATCAGCAAAATAAAACATTGGTAAATTATCCGGGGTGAAGGAAGTCTATTACAATAGCTATTATAATAATTAAATATATAAAAAGAAAACATCAACAAAACAAAACAGTAATGTTTTCGTATTGATAAAAAAGTGATTTGACCAAATCCCTGTTGATTGAAATGTTAAAAGATATTAAAACCACAACGTTGTGAGGTCACTTCCCTAAAGAAATTAAATGATTTGATCAAATCCCTAATCTGTTTTAGTGAAATGATGAAAAAATATTGTTTAGATATTAACATCATTTATTTAATAAACCCTGTATTATCAAATGTAGTGTAGGTACCTAATAAAACAATAGTCATTAAAATACAAATTATTTATTCGAAACCAATTAACAAAAGAAACATAATAGATACATAAGCTTATATTTTTAAAAACAAAAAATATATTTTTGGTGATATTTTTAACACTTTTAGTGAATATAAATAAAAATATTCATTCATTTTTATTAAAGTACGTTGTTGATTTGTGGCATCTTGTGTTACAAAGTACTTTTTTCACAGGCACATCCTTTGTTTTAAATTGTATTTTAGATTGTTCACATGAACACTTCTTTAATTTTTGACCTACAAATAAGGATAACTTTTCTGCAATCTCAGTAGAGTGAGGTTAGTAGTTGAACTATTTTGGTAAATGTTGTAGTAGCTATTTGAAGAGCGTTTCTCGGTAACCAATCTTTTTCAACAAAAATGTATCTATAGATATATTATTGTATAAACTATATGCAATAAAATGTGTAACCAGCATAAATAATAAAAAAAATTTATTAACAGTTAAGAATAATGTTAAATCTATAGATTTAACATTATTCTTAATTGTTTGAACACATTTTATTGCATATAGTTTATATATACTGGTTACACATTTTATTGCATATAGTTTATACAATAATATACTTTACGCTTCATTCTGTTATAATCAATATAGAATATCTAAAAACCTGTTTTTAGACATTAAAAGTTCGATATCTTATTGGCAACTATTTATCAGTGATTTTAGTTGTTCAATCTTGCTCTCGGTGTTGGCAACTCTTTTTAACAAATCTTCTAAAGGTGAATCCGTGTCGTTGTAAAGACTGAGGATAGCCTGCAAATTTAAATCAAGAAAATTAAGAGGATAGTTTGAAAATTTGAATCAAATATTGGATGAAAGATTAAGTTATGAATTTTTTAGATTTATTCGCTAAGAAAAACATTTTTTTTTTGAAAAATGAAGAAAAACTTTTTGTTACCTTTTTAACATCATTAAGAAAAACTCCTCCTCTGACAATGTTAAAGTTTGGCATATTTGAACGTTTGTATGCTGTCATTCCATCTTCGTGAAGGCGAGAAATATAATCTCGAATACTATTTTCTTGTTGTCGCTTTAATACAAACTCCATTTGATTTTTAAATGCAATTAAGCCACGTTTTTGACCATTCATAAAAATTTCTTCAGATTTAGTATTCCATTCGTTCAACCCTTAAATATTCCATTCATTCAAAATGTTTTTCGTTCATCAAGTAAAAAATAATGGAATCATTTAAAGTAACAAATAATATTTTAACATTCCTTGTTAAAAGTAGATAAAAACTTCACTCATTTTGAAAAAAGGAGGTAAAAACCTCACCCTTTTTGAAGTAAAAAAAACCTTACCCTTTTTGACAATGTTATACCAATACAGCATGTCTTGGACATCAGATACTGATAAATTTGTTCTCATTTCTGCAAACAAGTAAAAACTATAAATATTCAGAAGAAATTAATTATTAAGTAAAAAATTAATTATTAATTAAACAAAAGATCAAATAAAAAGATATCAAACAAAAATCAAATAAAAAATTATCAAACAAAAATCAAATAAAAAAAGATCGAACAAAAATTAAATAAAAAGATATCAAACAATTTAAATTTGTTAATTCCAATTTGTAAATAATAATTTGTAAATAAAGTATACAATATAAAAGTCAATAATTGTGCAAAAAATAATAACAACAAATATTTAAACTAACAGTGCATTTTTAAAAACATTGCCATTTGAAATCTAAAATGTCAAGCAACACTTAGTGCAACAAGGGTTAATCTTTTTTTCATATAAGGAATGAATATTTTTATTGGTATTACCAACATCCACTAGGGTAATTCAAAGGTTTATAAGGAAACAAGTTGAGAGTTTTATAATAGAGTTTTCATTCTCCTAAGTAAGTTAATTACCTATATAATCCAATAATAATGAATATCAAAATTTGAAAGAAAGGACGTAATGAGTATTTAAATTTAATAATAACGTAATAAATATTGAAATTGATTAAAATTGTAAGAAAGAAGGTAAAATAAATATTGAAATTGATTAAAATTGTAAGAAAGAAGGTAAAATAAATATTGAAGTTGATTAAAATTGTAAGAAAAAAGGTAAAATAAATATTGAAATTGATTAAAATTGTAAGAAAGAAGGTAAAATAAATATTGAAATTGATTAAAATTGTAAGAAAGAAGGTAAAATAAATATTGAAATTGATTAAAGTTGTAAGAAAGAAGGTAAAATAAATATTGAAATTGATTAAAATTGTAAGAAAGAAGGTAAAATAAATATTGAAATTGATTAAAATTGTAAGAAAGAAGGCAATGAATGTTAAAATTTAAAAGTAATGACCTAATAAAACAAGGTACTAACCTACATCACTAATTTTTTTCTGCATATCGGTAAGCGTAATTATTGACATTTTTTTGTTTGATTGAAACATTTGTCTTTGGTTATCGGCAGAATTTGTAAAGATTTTCATTCCTTCTGTTAGCTTTTCGTATTTTTCAACAACCCTCTTCATCTGCTTGCACGAATCTAAATCTAAAACAAAACAACAATATATGATGCTTTAGAAAAAAATGAATAAAACAATAAAAAATAATGTTTATGAAAAAACTTACTACTCTTATTAATTTAAATTAAATTGAAAAAAAAAATTTTTTATTACTTCCTTTCTCTGCTGTTTCTGGTTGGTCACTATCGTACAGAGGAACATCTTTTATGTTGTAATCAAAATCTTGTAGCAGACTCCAATGTGACGAAAATTGAAAAATATACATACTTTCAGCTGACTGGCGATCATACAATGGCTCTTCCAAAATTGATCGATATTTAATATAATCATTTGTTAAAATTGATCCCCGAGGTATTGCATCCTAAAATACAAAATTGAAAGAATTTTAGTAATTATTAATTTTATTGAATAAATTTAATCGTTTATCAAAATTAAAATTAAAAACTTTGATGTATCATACTTTTATATTTTTTGAAAAAAAGGATCGCTCAGCAGTTGCACTCTCAACTTGAGCTTGAAGATTGATCATTTGTGTTAGTAATTCATTATGTTGGCTTTTAAGTTGTTCAGATATTGCTATAATAAAACATTTCATCAAATCACTGGTTTTGCTAGAATAAAACATTTAATTAAATCATTAGATTTATTATAATAAAAGCAGTATAGAAAAAGACTACAAATTAAGGTTTGGTTATGGTTTTGCATATCAACCAAAACAAGGGTTGGTCATGGTTTTGCATATCAACCAAATTAAGGGTTAGTCATAGTTTTGCATATCAACCAAATTAAGGGTTGGTCATGGTTTTACATATCAACCAAATTAAGGGTTGGTCATGGTTTTGCATATCAACCAAATTAAGGGTTGGTCATGGTTTTGCATATCAACCAAATTAAGGGTTGGTCATGGTTTTTCCTAAAAAAGATTTGACTATGCTTGAAGAACTTTTTTTAGTAACTTCAAAAAAAAAAATTTTTTTTAGTAACTTAAAAAAAATTTTTTTAAGTTACAAAAAATTTTTTTTTTTTCTGCCTCATTAATATTGAACTAGGTGACAGGACCCATAAAAATACAGGCCTTTGTAAGTCTATTCCAGGCCGATTTTTTCTACTTCTGCATACATAGAGCTAATAAGAGATTTCTAACTAGGTTTGTTTTTCTCGTAATAATTAGAAAAATTTTCTTATTTTTTTTTTTTTAACCTCCACAGCAGCTTATTAAATTTTTCTTTATTAAGTTTCAGATCATAATTTTTTTTCAGACCATCCGCAGTTTATTAGGACTACTTGAGAACATTAATAACATAAGTATCTCAATCATGACATATGTGCAACAAATTTCTCCTGGTGTTTTGAGATTTTTAGAATTTTTAGCCTTTTTTTAAAAAATTCTCTTCCTTTTTTTTGTTATAGTGTATAATATCTTTGTTTATGTTATGTATACAGTATCTATAAAACTTCAAAAGTGTTTTATTTTGTATTTAAAAAAAATCAAAAAAGATTTCAAAAAAAAATTTCCAATGCTAACGGACTAGGATTTGAACCACGACATTTTGCTTAAGAGTTAACCACTCGGCCACACAGGTGTATTGTTTGATGAAAATTTTAAAACTATTTAACAAACAAAAGACTTTATAAAAACGGAAATAAATGCTATAAAACTTGTTTTAACATTACATAATTTGAAGTTTACGCAAGTTAGATATTTTCATGCTTGCTGCGACTATTTCTTGTTAATACCTCGGTTGCAATGGCTGCCAAGGGTTCCGAGTCAAACATGCTCAAATGGGCACTAACACTAACACTATTAAGTTTGGTAATAATATACAGAGATATTTTTCAAAAAAACATTGAATGAAAGTACACTGGATGCTTTGCTATTGAAGCACTAAAAGGCTTGTTGAAAGGAAAAAAATTGTTAATACAATTATGTTCAATTTAAAAGAATTTGATGGCAACACCTTGCATTTTGTTCAACTACCCTCCAAATATAGAATAACTCAAATTACTTACCACATAACAATTATATAAATCTTGCTGAATTTGATCATTCTAGGAGAAATTTCCCTAACCCCAATGGGTTGTATTTTTATGTTTCACGAGGTTGTTGCCAATCAATGTGGTTGCTAATAAAGCTAAGCAAGAAGACAAATTAATAACAGAATTAGCTATCTTTACATCCTTTGAAATCTACTGAAGATCCAAAAGAAGTGTTTATCTGCAGCTCAAAGGATTCTTCTATATTTCATAATAAGTTATTAAGAGACTTTGTGACTTAATCACAAAACTTTTTCTTTAAAGCTCATATTTTCTATTAATTTCCTCATAAATAATGTTTCCACATGGCTGCAAAATACATTTTTTCAAAAGAAAAAAGCAGTGGTATCTTTTTTGAAAGTGATGAACGACTGCTCCAATTGGGACATTAGAAAGATATCATTTTTCAAATCATTTCTCTCAAAAGCAGAAGAAGACAAATAAATAAAAATAAAGAATTTCCAAATTCGAAAAGTTGATTGTGCTGAAGAACTCAAAAATTAAAAAACTTGGGAGCTTGTAAAGTTTAGATTGGTGTGCAGACAAGAAGTAAAAAAATACAGAAACTGAAGTAAAAAATAAAAAAACAAATTATACTATTTGAGAAAGCTTTCTTTTTAATCCCAAAAACATCTGAAAATTTTGAAAGAAGGTTCTGTACAAAAGCATATATAATAATAAGATAATGAAAAAAAAATAAGATAATGAAAAATTTCCATTGAAGATAAAGAATAAAAAAAAGTTTTATAAAGTTTTAACTGCTTAAAACTGCTTTTAATAATTTAAATTGAATTTAAAAAGCATTTAATAATAATGTTTAAAACATTTTTTTTAGAGTTTTAATTACCCTACTTGAAAATTCAAAAAAATTTCATATAATTGTAACAAAATATAATGATAGTATCTTTTTCTATTGGTAAACTGTTTTGAAAGTTTTTAATGCTCTTCTAATAAGTGCTTGCTAAAGTGATTTGCAATTCAGCTAAAGAAACAAATACTTAAAATTGTTTACATCATTTGGTGGTAGTTCTATTGCATTACCTTTTTAGATTAATATCAAGGAATCTGTTACTGATAACAAAAAAAATTAAAAAAAGGAAAATATGCATGATACTTAAGTAATTCTTGAAACTAAAAAATAATATTAATAAATGATAATAATAACATTTGGATGCAACAATATTACAAACATCTAAAACAACTTTTATAAAAAAATCATCAACAAAAGTTATACCAAAATGGAAACATCAAATGCTATTCATAAAATCAAAATTGCACAAAAACTGTTTCAAACATGATGATCAGAAAATAAGTTATTAGATTAAAGATGAGAGATTAAGTGTTTGTTAATTAAAGATTCAAAAACCTTGTTTATGATAGGAAGAAGAATCGGACAGTAGTTTATGATAGGAAGAAGAATCGGACAGTAGTTTATGATAGGAAGAAGAATCGGACAGTAGTTTGAAAAATCAGATTGCTCTGCAAAATCAGATTGCTCTCACAAAAATAAGTATTTCCACATAAAAAGCATAAAAATTCACAAACTTTAAAATAATAGTAACTTTTTTCTATAAATAAAAAAAATTTTCTTCAAATGAAAAAAATATAAAAGATCTGTTTTTCCTTGAAAAATAAAAATTTACATTAAGTGGAATAAAAACAAATATTGCTAAAATATTTTTTATGATTTGGAATCACTTTTCTAGTTTTTGCATATTTTGCGGAAAACAAGGTTTTCTGCAAAATATGCAAAAAATAGAAAACCTGAGTTGGGGCAACTAAGATTTGATAACATAGCTATCTATCAGATTCCTATGCCATCCTAGTGATTTTTCTACAAAAAGACTGTTTTTAAAGCATATTTTTTAATTTATTACTTTTATATGCAAAATGTAAGTCATGAGCTACTGAGTCAAATTGATCAATTAACTTCTGAAAATGAAACAAACAAGAGTAAATAGGAAATTTAAAATGCAGTTATTTAAGTTGGAAGCTGAAATTACAGATTTAAATTCTAAAAATAGGGCTCTAAACACAAATTGTAACTCATTAAGTTTTTTATTAGAGACTATGAGTATTAGGCTAAAACAGGAGGAGCAGTTCCAACTTTTTTAACTTAAGTAATCCACAGTCTATATCAGTTAAAAAGGCAATTGTTGGTAAAAAATATACTTACATTAAGATAGGACATGGTAAATTTTATTCTAAGTTAGGTAGGCATGCTGCAGTTAGGCGATCTAAACTTGCTTTTATATTCCTTTGATTATTAGCTTATTCAGATATTTGAAAGTTTGTCTATGTTGTTTTGTGATTCTATGTCTTGTGAAAAGTTAATATTTTGTTAAGTTTCTGATATTGTAGAGCTGCAGACCCAATTAAGGATGCCCACAGCTGAATTCTGTAGACTAAAAAGTATTCCGTGTAATCTTGGTGCAAGGATTCTCCCATCTGAGCTCAAGATAAGACAAGAACAAGCACTGCGGACAATCCATGTCAGGAAAGAACTTGTTACTGTGAAGTCCATGTTGCTTTATCCATCTGTAAATGAAGCACCTTGTTTCTGTACTGATGATCAAGAATTTGACAACTTATATTGAAGAGGTTTTTAATAGTCTTCAGGTTTGTGACCACCTTGACTCTGATGCTGGTTTTTGCAAAAAGGTATGGCTCTTTTTTGCTAGGGATAAGGGTGGAAAGTATATGAAATTCTAAATCATCAGGGTCTGTATATAATATGTTTATCTGATTTGTATGTATCAGGGTTCAGACTGTCGTGAGAATATTGCCTTAGTTCTTTGTCATTATGCCATCAACATTAAAAGGATTCAGTCATAAGATTTTAAGCTAAAATACAAAATAGTAAAACAAAAAAGTAATAATACAGGACAATACAATCTTTGGAAAGTGCTTACAATGAGAACTTGTGTGAAGATAGACAAGGTGGAAACTTAAGAACTCTAGGTAAAAGTATCACGCAAAAAATGCGTGAACTTTTTTTTAATGTGCCATAATTTGTAAAATTGCATAAAACTATTGGGTTGCTGAGTGAAGAGGAGGGAGAGTGTTAGCATAATAGAATAAGGAATTAAGGCAGTTGCATTCAGTAAGAAATCAGAAGCAGTAGCTGCATCTTGTTTTAAAACACTTTGAATTGTACAGCAAAGCTGATAGGAAGCTTCAAGCCTGGTGAGAAAGTGTGTTGTGTGTTCTCAGTGTGGCAAAAATTTGTTTTAAAGACAAGGTCTTTGTCTTGTTCGTGGTCATCAAATTTAAAAAAAACATCAATGTTTAAATATTCAAAAAATTAAAAACAGAAAAACAAAAAAACTTTTTACATCTAAGATAAATTATATATTTTTTATATTTAATTTTTAAATATGACTTTATTCTGTTCTAATTCTGGTCTAAGTAATGTTTGCTAAAAATTTTATTTTATTGATTTCATATATTAGGTAGGTGCCTATTCTATTCCTATTTCCAGAAGTTAATTATACCTATGAAATACCTTTATATACCTAGTAATATACCTTTGCTCAGGTTAAAGAATGGAATTTAAGTCTACCATCAAGTGTTTGTAAAAATTATTATAATTTATTTTAATTTATGATCAGAGCATTTGTTGGGTATGATCTTGTATGTTTGTCTAGTTTATTTAAAAAATGTGTTGCCCTTCATTATATGTAACATTTTTTTTATATATTAGATATGCATTCAATTATTGTCATCAGAAGGCAGATCTACCTTTGCAGTAACTCTGCTCTACATACCTCCTCTCTGGTTAAAGAATGGAATATAAGTCCATATATATCAAGTTTGTGTAAATATATAGTTTAATAAATTGAGAACTTGTAAATGTTATTGTCATAATTTTAAGTCGAGCAATTGTTCTTCTGGTTTAGAATAAAGTATGAATCTAGTATTAACTTGGTGTACAAAGATAGTTTACTGCTTAAAGAACTTATCAGTGGACCAAATGATTATAGCAGTTTTTTATGAGAATGAAAACGAATTATCAAAAGATTTAAAGCTGTTTGTATATTTAAACAAACACTTTATTTTTTGTGAGAAGATATCATTGATTCAAGTGCCATAAAATAATTCTACTACCAAAAGCAAGGTTAATTAAAAAACATTAATTCAATTTTGGTCATAAATAATTTTACTAGACTTGGTGAGACTTTATTTATTAACAACCTAATACCATAATATTAGAACTGTATGCACATAAATAATATTAGAAGTTTAATACCATAATATTAGAACTGTATGCATAAAAAGAAATGCTTCAGTTTTTTAAATACTTGAGCTTTACCTGTTTTTTAAATACTTAAGCTGTTTAAATGACTAAATATTCCAAAATCAAAATCTGGCTTTATTTTGTAATGCAATGAATTTATCAGCTTAGTGAAATGACTTTCTAATACAAGAACTTCTTTAAAAATGCACTGATGTAACAGCTAATGCCCCTTTTAACATTTTTTATAAACTTGCAAAAATTGGGGTTTGCGCTTCAATAAAGTCTGTTTTAGTTAACCTTTAACAATTAAGTAAAGTTTTTGTGAGTGTATTTGATAATAAATATCAGAAATATATTTTTTCTGATTTTTTTTTTTAATTATCAAATTACTGAAATTTAGCCAAGTTTATCATTTGTTGCATTTATTCTAAACTAAAAGAATTTTTTTTACTAATGCATTAAATGTCGTAAGATGAAATATTTTATTGGTGCTTTTATTCTTTTTGCAAAACAAAACTTTCTCTAATATTTAAAAAGTTATAAATGATTTAGTAACACCCCTTAAGTCAATATTTTCAAAAAATAACAAGAAGCCATAAAGCTCGGTTTGAAAAAGCTGTGAAATTTAAAAATGTTTTATTTTCTATTTTAGAAAATTGGAAAAGATTTAAAAAAATCAAATATGCAAGCAAAAGGACTTGAAGCCCCGGGATGCACTTCAGAAGCACAGCAAGCTAAATTCTTATGCACTAAAACATACTATACTTATATACTATACATATATATATATATATATATATATATATATATATATATATATATATATATATATATATATATATATATATATATATATATATATATATATATATATATATATATATATATATATATATATATGTATATATAATTTAAACATATTTTAATTACTTTGACTAATTCACCTATAAATCTAATTTAATTAAAACAATAATTAAAATAAATAAATAAACATTTAATTTTTTTATAAAACCATGAAATCATCCTTTGTATTTATTGTTTGCCACTTCTATTCATATTTATTGTTTCACTAATAAGTATAAATGGGTAAAAAATTGTTTGGTTTGCAAACTGCATTTTAATCTATTTATGCATATCTCAATTTTTAGATCTTATCAAAAAATATAAAAATATTTCAGTTTTAATAAAAATTTTTGTATTTATTGTTTGCCATTTATATTCATATTTATTGTTATCAATTAAAAAGTTATTTTTTTTTTTTTACACCCAGGAATGTTATTTGTATTCTTTAATATAACTAAAAAAAATAAAAAAAGTTACATCAAGTGAATTTGTTATTGACATGCTAAAAAAAGCCAAAAAAAAAAAAAAGCAAACATAATTACTTTTCTTATGATTCTTCAACAACAAAAAAAATTTATGGCCCGATTATTTTTCAAAAGTAATGTAAATATTTTAATGTTAATAATAACAATAAAAATAATAATAATAGTAACATCAAAAACATCAAACTTATATTATATATATTAAAAATTACCATAAAAACTCTTAGGGTCAGAACTCTTCTGAGTTTCGGTGTTCAATTCTGGAAAACATTTATTTATAATTTGTTTTGCTAACCTATTGTGCAGGTTAAATCCCAATGTTATGTCATCTTCCCATGAAATCAACTTTCCATATATGTCAGCATTTACACTTAAAAACACTGTTGATTTCCAAAACTTAAAAGAAAAATGTTGTAACACTGACATTAAACACTACAGAATTTACTTAAAAAAATATATATATATATTTAAAACCTACTTTGTTTAAAAAACCATTGAAACACAGTTTTTTCAATGAAATCTTTGCATTATTTATTATATTCTTTACTGCTCTTTCATTATTAGTGGCATTTAACTGGATTTGTTTAGCAATACTTAAAAGATCATGGTACTGGCTGCTAAATTGTTCCAATAAATAATTGATGTCTCTAGGTAACTCTGTTAACCCAATAAATGCCTAAAAAAATGTTAATTTCTATGCATCAAAAAAAAAAAAATTACCTTAACTATTTACTTGTATAAAAAATCTCACATCAACACCAGAATGATCTCCCCACATTAAAATTTTCTTTGCTGTTTTGTCTAACTCACATGAAGCAATGCATATTGCATCTTTTTTCTTCCATTTACAATTATCCCATGTAGGGCAACCTAACCAAGTTCTCCATATCCGATAACATTGGTTGTTCCATCCAAAAAATGGGATACACACTAAAAGTAAAAATTTTAAAATATTCAGCATTAGGTACACTGTGAAAATATTTATAAAACTTCAAATAAAATATTTCAGCCTTTTGTTCTAAGTACCATTTTGAAAATCATTGCTTTTTTTAATTTTACTTTGAAAATAATCAATGGCACACTGTGTTAAAACAAAAAAAAAAAAAGTTTTGAAAAACAAAAAAACTACCTAAAAGAACAAATTAAAAATCATGTTAAAAATTAATTTTTAGCAGTGAAATAAGTTCAAACAGCTTAGATTGAAAAACGGCTTCCATAAAATTCCAAAATTAAATACTATTTGTAACTTTGACAGTGGTTTAAACCTTACTTCAACCATTGATTTGTTATGTATTTCAGAAATTTTACATATATAGTTTATACTATGGAGTAAATACAGCACATATCCACAAAGATGCTACACAAACTGAAAAAATTGAGCTGCAAGTTCTGATGTGCACAATCTGGTCTTGTATCCCCTATTCAACCATTATAAACAAGATAACTCATACTAACGTTTAAAATTGATGGCATCATCAATATAATCAATTTATCTCCTGCTATTTGAAACACCTTATATTCAAACAGACAAAAAAACAACACACTAAAGTTGCTTATAACACAGGGTACAGTGCTTCTTTCAGGATACACTGCTTTTTTCAAAACTAATTAGTGTATGAATGCTATATGCCAAAAATAAAACTTTGAAATAAAATTTTTTATTTAATAAAATTAAAAGGTTCACATCTCAACAAAATATTTTTTTTATTCAATTTCAATGAAACATCATTACAAAAATGTTTCTGCTTTTAAAAACTTTTAAAAATTATTAACTTTTAAAAATTATGAATTATAAATTACCATTTTATTTATTATTTGTTTACCTTCACTACACTTTGTTTTGCATGCTATTCCTATATCTAATTTATTGTTGTTAATACTTTTTAGCTTTTCTTTCAACATTTCCTCATAATCATGGATGCTTTTTTTCCAAACATTTACACGAAACAAAGCATCTTTCAAGCCTATTAAAATTTAAAAAAAAATAGAATATTAAATGTCCAATCTCAGAAAAAAAAACTAATTTGAATACAGTATGTTAAGAAAAAAACTTTTAAAATAAATATATTAAAATAAAATCATTGTTGCATAGCTCAACAAAACTTTATTTTAATTTAATTTAAATGAATCATCATTGTTATGTTATTTTTAATGTTACCTAATTGTATCGAATTCACTATCACATCAATGTTCGTTTTTAATAAAACAATTTCTTCATGAGCTTCAGAAAGTTCAGTTAATAACTTATTCGATAACTCTTTTAATTCTAAAAGCTTCATACAACCTGTAAACTAAATAGTTTTATAAAAACTTATAACTCTGGACAAATATACAATAAGTATAAAACTTTTTTTACAGTAGCAGTATATATATATATACTATATATATACATATATATAAATATAAATATAAATTATATATATATATATATAAATATAAATATAAATTATATATATATATATATATATATATATATATATATATATATATATATATATATATATATATATATATATTTATATACATATATATATATATATATATATATATATATATATATATATTTATATGTATATATATAAATATAAATATAAATATATATATATATATAAATATATAAATATATATATATATATACATATATATATATATATATATATATATATATATATATATATATATATATATATATATATATATATATATATATATATATATATATATATATATATATATATATATATTTGTATGTATATATGCATAAAAAACATAATAAATTTTTAATTTTACATAAAAAAATACCTTAAAATCTGCTTTAATAAATTGAGTACTAAACATAGCCTTAAACAATAAAAATTCAGAAGTCAATGATAGATGCAAGCCTCCAGATATATTGAAAAAAAATTCTTCATTCTCAATCATAAGGGTTGTCATCTCCCTACGTCCCATTACATCCACCAATGCTTTCATAGAGCTCTAAATTTTTTTTAGTTTAAGAAAAAATATAGACTAGAACAATTAGTTTTTAATAGTTTACTTTTTAAATTAGATTTTAATAGTTTAAAATTGTCAACAATAAAAGTTTTTATAAAAATTGTTTTCCCTATTGAATTTTCCCTTATTTCAAAAAATTACACAAAATATAGTTCCCATCAAAGTTTTGAGGATTTAAATAATGGTGTAATTTGATTGTTATCAAAGTATTGAGAAATTTTACTGATTTTCAGAACAAAGAGTTAAAAATTTAAAATTCCAATACTGAAATTTTTTTATATAAAATACCTTAAGCATTTCGTTATGTTATTATAATCTAAAATTAATAATTTGAATATAAAATTTGTAAGTATTATAATTATTTAAAGTTTAATCATTGTTTCCAATCAGATATTATTTAAAAACCTAATAAAAATGTAATAATCCATATATGTACTTACCAATGGCCTAATTATGAAGTTTACTAAACTCAATTTTCATCAACTTAATTTTAACAACCTTATACTGTTTCTCAGTTCTTCCATGATAATGAACTGTTCACTGCAATATCTAATCAATGCTAATAATATATTCATATAATCATATATTGTTTTGTCAGTAAGGAATTCATTCATGCATCCTTATTTATTTTTATATTTTAGTGTATGCCTATTTATCTTGTAGCAATAATTACAAGATTTAAAATTAATTGTCTAACATCCTATCACCTGAAGTGTGCTCATTAGTAACCCAACAAAAACACTGTTTACTGCTTGGCTATCTTAAAAAGAGACACTTTTCAAAGGATTCTTTTTTATTACTTAGAAGAAAAAACAAAAAGTGAAAAGAGTATTTTATCTACAGTTAAAGACAATCAGAAAATAGGATGGAGTTCTAACTCAGTCAATGTCTGAATGGCAATGATGAAAAAAACCTAAAGAAATTTTATAAGTTTCTTGACAAAAAGGACAGAACCAAAACCTTAAACAGCTGTCATATGAATGCAGAAGTTTTCAATGGTGACCTTGCAGAACTTTTTTTTTTCATTCTCTCTCTGAAAAAAAACTTTTTTTTGAAAAATTAAAATATAAATAAAATCATTTTGGGAAAACTTTGTTCCTGTATTATTTAAGTAAAATTTCCATGTGTTTCATTTCTAAAGCTTACTTGTGGTAAAATGTTTTTCATTTCTAAGATACAATTGGATCTTTTACTTTTTTACTTGTGGTAAAACAAAAATTAAAAGTTGACTGTAAAGCTGTTAAGCAGCCTGTTAAAAATCATTTTAAAAAATTGTGACAAATAATATTCACTTTGCAAGCATAGAAAATAATAATCACTTTGCAAGCATAGAAAATAGCTTAAACAGTTGAAATACTTTGCCTCATGAAGATTCTATATTTAATTCAATTCATATATATTCTGAAATAGTTATTACATTCACGGAAGTTTACAAATAGTACATGTACTAGCCTTAAGTAAAAACCTTGTAAATAAAAGCTAATAAATATACTGATTAATGCAAATAGTAATATTAATCATCCACAGCAGTAACAAAACGAACATTAAAAGTTGAAGGAGTAAAAATACTAATAAAGATAATAATAAAAGTTGTAGTTGTAACAGTAATAACAATACAATGATAAAAGTACAATGATTATAATAAAAATAAAATGACAGAAATAAAAATAATTACAATAATCATAAAAAAAATACTAGTAATTTAGTATTAGTAACATAAATACACACATATACAGACACATACAAATACACACATATTAACACACATACGTTCACAAATACATATAAACACATATACTTATATCCCCCTGTATTCAATACAGGTATGTATACATTAATTGTATACAAACATAATAAAACATAATATATTAAGACAATCACAAAAAAAAAAACAAAAAAAAACGTTATCTTATGTCACAAGATTGTAGCTATTTGACTGTGAAGCTTGAGTAATGATGAAATTAAAACTAAAAAATGGCAATAAAGTTATATATTACAAGCAATCGAAAATTCACAGAGAGTTCCGATTTTGATTTAAATTTAGGTCTAATGGAATTTTTATCTCACACCTTTGCAGCCTGCATTTTGTTTATCTAATTTTTAGTATTTATTACTGCAATTCAACTTTTTATTTTTCTCATATTGGAAGAAACAACAAACTGTATTTTAAAGAAATATTTGCTATTTTCAATTTATTTTTGTAACATAAAAGATGATAAAATTACTTTAAAAAAGTATGCGAATTTCTCTTAGTTTCCATTCTGCTCTAGTTTTTAACCAGAATGCAACTATACCTCTTCACCCTTCCATAAACTTTTTTAAAGCTTCAGATGAAAGTTTTACAGTTCTTTCCACCGGTTGTAAGTTGTTTGACAGATCAGTGAGATAAATTTTTCTAGCAGTTTAAATAGTTTATTGGAACTTACATGAGGTAATGAAGAATGAAGTAGGATGCTCAAATTGTAATAAAGTAACATCAACATCAACATTAAACAATATTAACATCAACTAACTCCAAACTTCAACTTTGAAGTTCGAGGGTATAACTGAACATTTTCTTTCCTCAAATGTAACTTTTTTAAATCATCTGAAACACATTCTTTCCAAGTTTTTCTGCTTCTACCTCTAGCTTTTTCTTCTAAAACTTCGAACTCTCTACATGCTGATAGCCAGTCATCTGCATCTTTATGCTTTACATGCCCAAACCACCTAAATCTTCCTTGACGCACCCAATTAGATATACTCACAATGTCTAATCTTTTTCTTAAATCATCACTCCTTTTATTTTCTTTTAAAGTCACACTGCATATCCATCTAACTATCATCTTTTCTCTTCTTTTCAAAAGCTGGGTATCATCAACCTTCATTGCCCATGTTTTACTGCCATACATCATAACACTCTGGAGATGTGTGCTGTAGAACTTTCCTTTAACCATTAATGAAGTACCTCTTGCTGTTAAAAGTGGAGATAAATCTCAAAACTTGGACCTAGCAAACCTTACTCTTGCCCTAGATTCTACTTCTGCTCCACCAGCTGATCCAATTGTACCACCAAGATAACAAAATTTACTAACACACTCTATCTTTTTTTCACTTTTTATTTCAATCTCCTTTTTAACTTCTTCTCTATTCTCACCAAAAGTACATTTTCTACACTCAAAACCAACAACCTTTAAAGAACATCTCTTCAATATCTACATCTCTTATGAAACTATTGCACACAAACTGTACATACTTAGAGTTAGCTCAACTCTCTTCCTACTCACTCCACATGGCCACATCCCAGTATTTTCTGCATCCTCATTCTTGACTTTACAATGCATAACTTTTGCCTTGTCTAAACCACTTTTTGTTTATCTAAAGCCCTTTTGCTTCAATTCCATCTTTCTAAGCCTCAACCTTAATACTAATTCTTTTTCAGTTTCAGTAATCTCTGAGTAATTGCTTTCGCTAACTATTTGCTCCTCAAACTCTTCACTTAAATTAAAAATGTAAATAACTATTTATATGGTTTAACTTTTCAAAAAAATTTTAATTTATACGGTATATTATAATATACGTGGACTAAGTGAAGACAGGAGGCCCAAGAAAAAAATAACAAAATATAATTTTTTTTTAAGTGGGAAACTTAAAAAATTAAGTTAAAAAGTTTACATTATTGAAACTAAAACTTGTTATTTACATCAGAGTACATCATTAAAACCGTTTGCATCGATAATACTATCAATTATTTTAAAAACAACAATGGACAAATTAAAAGGAAATGAACCTTTAAAAACTATTGATCTAACCGTAATAGTGCGTGCACAACAAGAAATAATAGAAAAGTTATTAAAAAGAATTAAGGCATTGGAGGCAAAAACAATATCTGCTCCCTCGTGGGCAGACGTTGTTGTTCGTGGAAAAAAAAGTGAAACACAACTTATTAACCTAAATGCGTCAATTATAGAACAAAATTAACGAAAAAATAAGGAGACTAATACAATAATGTTTGGTGTAACAGATTCTGATGCAACAACCGATTTGGAAAAGCATGCTAATGATTTTAATGCTGTGGAAGAGATATTTAACACAATCGGAAAACCATGTTCACCGGTCTTTGTAAAAAAATTAAAAAAAAAAATTGTTAGTCAGAAACCTGCTCCAATTTTAGCACGCTTTAAGGACAAAACACAAAGAAATACTATACTTGAAAATTTGAAGGATATATTCATTAACCCAGATAAAACATTAACCAAAAGAACCTTTGATTATGCTTTAAGGCAGGAAAAATAACTCTCTTCAAAATAATGATACCTTTGTTTATGGGATTTGAAGGCAACAGATTGTTAAGACTAACAAACAACAATAAGAAAAACCTAAAAATGTTATGTACAAAAGCAACCTCATTAAATAAAAAACTTAATGAACTTTCAGTATTAGTACAATTAAATAAAATAGATGTTATAATGGTCACGGAAACGTGGTTTAATGCCGGATCAGTGTCAAACCTGGATGGTTATAATATTTTTAGAAAGGACAGAATTAACGGACCAGGTGGTGGAGTTTGTATCTATACACGAAAAGATCTTATAATTTTGAAATTAACTCTATTGAACTATGTTATCCAGATATAGAACAAATTGGGTGCGAGCTCAAATATGAATTTGAAAAAATATTAGTAGGTTGTGTCTACAGATCTCCTAATTCAGCAAACAATTCAAACTTTTGTAAATCTATTCTAGCGGCTAAACATGTTTACGATAATAGTGCTTTTACAGGTTTTTTGTTGACCGAAGACTTTAATTATCCGAATATAAAATGGGTTGATGATATCTTCATTGGTACATGTTCAGATCTAAATAGTTCAGAATTTCACTTCACAAAAACTATAAACGACTGCTTTTTGTCACAAAATGTATTTTTTCCAACATTTCAAAAGACGGATAAAGGGTCGACTAACACTCTTGATCTTATATTTACAGAAAATTCAAATCGTGTTT